TCCCAATACAAATTTTTAGCCCATGGGCATTAAATCAGATAGGAAAAATCTGATATGAATTCAGTTATGCTGGCATTGAATAGGCTGGTCTGATGCAATATCTTTCATGATAGACACAATATCATTTTAGGTAGATATAATATCAATTCTGGTAGATACAATCACAGTTTTTCCTGATGTAATATCAGGTATTTTTATCTGATGTAATGCCAGATGTAGCAATCTGATACAATCACTTTGGCAGTGAACACCGCACCTGAAAAATAAAATCAGGACCCCGGGGTTCAAGCCCTGAACCCCAGGGTTTGTCCCTCGGGACTGGCCTCAAACCCCGTCCTGAACCCCGGGGCCATGCCTTACAGTGACTGTTCTCGTTTTGTCGGGTTTTTTCTCTGTAGACTTTTAGACCAGCAGAGTTGAGTCGGTGTCCCCAATGTTCCAATCCAGCCAAATTTCCTACCCCTCATATTCTTGAGTACCACACCAAATTGTGCACTAATTAATCACACCACATGCACCCCCTTGATTGCAATCCAAAACAGATAGGGTAGAACTTAGAAGCCAACTCCAGTTTCTTCTTATATAATGACATTTCATGATGACAAATTTCCTTATCACATTCTCGTTCTTGGGAAAATTTGTCAGAGAAGGTCTGGAGTAAATGTCAGAGAATGTGATTTTTTTTAAGAAGGAAGGCAGACCACAAAGGCAATGTGTATAATTTTGGCTGGAGACCTGTTTGACAGAAAATTGGCCATGTAATTATAAATGTCATCATTATATAACTTGTTTTATTTGCTCCTTCACCCATTGATGAGCTTCAATGATTTTTAGGAAAGCAAATACATATTTGCATAAGTTGAGCAGAGGAGGATGAGGATGCCGAGGGAATAGGGATGCCTGCCGATAGTCCGAGTCGGCGCCGGCGGCAAACAGTAAAATGTACCGCGCGGGTTTCACCGGCACTCCGGTAGACATGTCACCGGCCGCCACAAGCCTGGGGCAGTTTCACAGAGCTGTCACAGGATCGCTGTGCTCCCAGGCCCATTGGCCTCGGCTCGGGTCTCATCCGAAAGCCATCGACCAAAAAAGAACCACAAAGATGCCCAATAACCTCACACCATCCTCATCATCAGCCAACCTTCCCCATCGGTCTTCGGTCAATCAAGCCAGCTCCTCCGGAATCCAACCGCAACAACGGACACTGAACGATCAGGCGATCCTAGAATATCTTTCCCGGCGTGGATTCGCCAAGGCCGAGGGGGCACTCCGTGCGGAGCTTGCCAATGCTATCTCAAACTCTTCTGCCGCTAAAGGAAGGACCGTAGGCTTAGAGGAATTTGCAGATAAGAATGCCAATACTTCCGATGCGGCGATCGCTGGGCTCGGCAAAAAGAAAGAAGGCGTCGGTAGAAACTTGATCAAACAACCCTCTGAATACGCCAAAGGTTATGAAGGATTGCGCGAGTTTGTCAACAACGTCAGCATTATTTTTCAAAATATCTGAATTTATACTCCTTTCATTGGTGATAAATAAATTGCTGAATTTCATTTCCTGGATTTTGAACAGTCACTGGATATCCATCGACCTGCAATCACCCCGTTTTTACTTCCTCTATTCGTACATTCCTATCTAGACTTGGTAATGGATGGAAGAAGAGATGCAGCAGACGATTTTTTGCATCGGTAAAATAACGAATCCCTGAATGCTTAAACTATGAGCCTGAAACGATCGACTTGGAAATCTGCAATCTAATATGTTTTTGGTTCAATACATATCCCACAGTTTTTCAGCAGATCACGAAATATCCGAGCCGTATTTGGTCCAACACTTAGCCTCACTACGGCATCCTTATCATATCCAAGAATCAGAAATCGCCCAACGATGGAGAAAAGAACGATACGTGATTAGGATCAGTGAACGCGCTAAGAATCTGTTGATGACCTGGCTACAAACTGAATCTCTAGGAGGTGATACCGATGAGAGTAGAGCAAAGGATCGGATGACAAGTACCATCAATGAGAAAGTTCGAATTGAATGTAAATCATCAGCTCTTTCGTAATCTTGATTTACCGGCGAGGCCCACTTAACTTCCTTTTTTTGTTTGACTTAGATACCCCTATATCCCTATTCAGTCAATTCCAATGCGGCCTCGAATCCGATTTCCATCAGCAACAACAGCAAACTGCTTCAACCGAACCTCCACTGAAACTTGGCCCAACACCTAAAGACCCTAAACTAATGAGAGAAGTAGCCAAACTACTGGCGCAAGAAGAAGCCCCGCCGAAGCCAGCAGAGTCAGGTGACCTTCCAGACGGCGAAAATGCAGACGTGGCGATGACTGATGGCACGAAGACGACAACAAACAATCCTACAAATGTCCCCTCAACACCGATCATACCCGAAGCTACCCCATCAACATCGGATTTGATCCCACCGACAAATGCCGATCTTTTACCCTATTTGAGTAACTTCAAAACGATAGATTTGAGGAGAGAGGTGGAGTCGATCAGGGAAGCCAAGAAGCGGATCAGACTGGGTCCAGAAGCATTCAATGATAACAAACAAGTTGAGAAGGAAGTTTGGAAGCCAAGTGTGTGTGCATTCACGATCCATGATGCTGGGCAAACGTACGGAGTCTATCTGTTTGAACTCTCTGGTTCGATCCCACTCCATCTCCAATCAAGTCGCTGATTCCTTCCCCCCAGGACCTAACCTTGTCGGACTTCTTTCTGGATGCTGTGGGATGATTAGGATGACTGCTGCTAGGTTCTCAGAGGACGTGACGATCCTTGGTGCTGGGTTTTCGGATAGCTACATCAAGCTCTGGAACCTCAAGGGTGATCCCTTCGAACCCATCAGAGATGATGGCACCACCGAGGCTAATAACCTGGGAAGCAACGAAGGTATCGTTTGAGCCTCTCTAACAGAACTTTGTTGAGACCGCCCCTCACGGGAGTAGGTATTCTGACGATATGTCCCATGACCGTTACAGCTGAAACGATAAGGCGGATGCGAAAGAAAACGGCCAGCAATTCAATCAAGTTAATTGGCCATTCAGGTCCGGTATATTCGCTCTCCTTTGACCCCATTCCGGGCCCCTCCTCGCCGCCTCGCCATCTTCTTTCGAGTTCACAAGACTCAACGATCCGGCTTTGGTCCTTGGACCTCTTCAAAAACCTGGTTGTCTATCGAGGACATAGAGAACCTGTCTGGGATGTCGAATGGGGCCCTAAAGGGATCTATTTCGCATCCGCAAGTAGGGACCGAACGGCTCGTCTGTGGTGCTCTGAACGCATTGGAGCCGTACGTATGTTTGTTGGACATTTGAGTGATGTTGATGTACGTCCTTTTGTCTGCTCCCTTCACCCTCTAATCTGAGCTAAAAGTTAATTTTTGATGATGTTGTTATAGTGCGTCAAATTTCACCCTAATTCACTCTATCTGGCCACTGGTTCAAGTGATCGCACTTGTCGATTGTGGGATGTTCAAAGGGGCAGCTCGGTCCGGGTCTTTCATGGACATGAAGGCGCAGTGAACTGTGTTGCGATCAGTCCAGATGGCAAGCTGCTAGCATCTGCAGGTAAGTATTCCCTGAGATTCAAGACATTTTTTTTTTTTTTGAAAAAGATCACTCAAAGAAACAATTTGGATGTGAACCTTAGGAGAAGATCAATCGATTAAAGTGTGGGACATTGGATCGTCGCGATTGATGAAGACGATGCGGGGGCATCAATCATCGATCTACTCGCTCAGCTTCAGTGCGGAATCAACGATCCTAGCCTCGGCTGGTGCCGACTGTAGCATCCGGGTGTGGGATGTACAGAGTATGGGGACAACCGGCCAGATTCTCTCGAACCCTTCGCTCGAAAACCCCGAGGACTCGCTTGCGCAACCTGGATTAAAACTCCAGGGTGAGCCGAAATCTAACATCAAGCTCCTCAGACGCGGCTTGTTCGGTCTCCATGAATATCGTGATACGTATGTTACTTCAATTTTCCTCCTTATTTCAAGAATCTTACCAGTCTCGCTTTTCTTAACCTTTTTTTTTTTTTTGGTTTCTGTGGATGGGTTTATTCATTAGGCCCGACTTGTTATTGACCCTGCCTACTCGACAAACGCCGATTTTGAATGTAAATTTTACGACGAGGAATTTATTGCTTGGGGTTGGTCCGATGGGAAAGATCCCCACATCTTGAACACAGACTTGAGAACCAAATCAAACCAAATCATGTTTTTGTTTTGTTTTTTGGATCTACATTTGGTATATAATAATCATACAAAAACTAAAAAAAACTAAAAAAAAAAACATCATCGGTATCATTTGGAACCACTTTTTTTCTTTCTTTCTGGGGTGTCATTTGTATTTTGAGAAAGTTAAGGGCGTGGTCATTCATAGATGAGTGTTGTTGCTATTGGGATTGTTCCATTGAGCTCTACATAAGGCCCGAAATGTAGACTCCAGCGACCACTGGTGAAAGAGAGGGCACGGCCATTCAGGCTGCGTCCTATCGCCATCCTCAAACTGACCACCGAGCCTGACCATCGTAGCGGTGGTGTCGCGTCCTTCCCTCCCTTCTACAAAACCTGCTCTGTCTGTTACCTACCCTAGATCCTCCAGACTGCTTGGCTGAGTCACTGCCGCTACCGCCGGTCACGTGGTTGCTCACATCAAGCCTGCTTTTCTCCTTGACACACTGACATCCTTAAAATTGTTCTCTCCTTCTTTTCATGGACCATAGAATCCTCTTTTTTTTGTTTTTCTTTCAAACACTCTCAATGTTTTTTTTTGTAGACTATGGACAAAAGAAGAGAAGAAAAGGAAGACAGACAGTAAATCAAGCAAGCAAGCCAAAAAAAAAAACCCCAAAGTGGGCCGGAGCGGAGGGAGGTGGTGGTGGGCTACCAAACTGAGCTGGTAATAATGAGGCCAGGATACAACAGGAGAAGAAAAAGAAAGAAGGTATCAAAACCAAAAATACAAAATGAGTCAAGCAGAAAAAGAGGATGATGGGGATGGGGATGAAGAAGGAAGGAAGGAATTAAGGCGGGGGTTGATGTAAGCGAGAAGAGGTAGCCACGGAGGTAGGCGTATTCAAGGAAGTACCCAAGCGAGGAAGACAGAGCGGGGAAGAAAACTGAAGAGAGCTGCGGGCGATCTTGAAGGTTTTTTGGCCGTTCGGAGGAGGACAAGAGCGACGAGGATCGACTGAAGAAGATGAGTTGGAGGGGGAAAGAGTTTCGAAGTGCGAGGTGGAACGAAGTCCAGCACTGGATTTGATGCGTCCTTGACTATCCTCTTCCTCGATCGTTTGGCTTGAATCTTCTTGTCGATGATGATGATCATGCTCGCTAGTCATTGTTTGTAAGGATTGGTTGACGAGATTGGATGGTCTCAACGCTCCTAAACTGCACCTTTCTAGCTGCGAAATCGGATGGAATGTGAGCGAGTTCTCGGCGTTTTCTTCATTTGCTGCTGCTGCTGCTTCTGGCACGATGGGATTGGAAGATGGAGTCTCGTCTTGTTGATGATCTGCTGTTGATTCTTCTTCATCCTCTAATGTTGAGCCGGAGATTTCAAGTTTATCTTTCAAATGCTCAATAGATCTTCTCTGGATTTCTTCTGTTTCTTCAAGATCTCTAATTTGCAACTTAAGAGATTCAATTTGGGCGAATTGTTGGTAAATCTTAGCATTTGCTGACTCCAGTCGATTCCGTAAGTCTTCGTTTTGCTCGGCAAAGGATTTCACAAGCTCGTTATTCTTCTCCTCGGAGATCTTCTTCTGTCTCTCAAGTCGCTTGCATGCTTCCCTGGCTAATCGTGACTCAGCTTGAGCTTGGCTTAACTCCTGTTTCTGACGATGGGTGAACTTTTCGTAGAGTAATCGGGCCGGTTGTTTCTCTTCTGTTGCCAATAGACTCTCTAAGGATTTCACTTTGGTTTGCAATCGATCCACCTCGACTTGATAGTTCATCAATTCAACCCGCCGTCCAGTTATCTCTACATCTTGGTTCCGGAGCCGCTGCTTCAGCTCTGCCACTGCCTCCTTTTCTTTTTCCAAATCAGCTTGGCGTCCAGTTATCTCTTCATCTCGCTCCCGGAGTCGATTCTTTAGTTTTGCCACCCTCTCCTGTTCTTTCTCCAAATCAGCTGCGAGAGCCCATCGTGCAATTATCTCTACATCTTGGTCCCGAAGTCGATCCTTTAGCTTTTCCGCCAATGCTTCGTTTTCTTTCTTCAGGTCAGCTTGGAGGGCCCGATGACGAGTTATCTCCATATGTTGGTCCCCAAGTCGATTCTTTAGCTCTGCTACCACTGCCTCATTTTCTTTGTTCAAGTCAACTCGGAGGGCCCGTTGTTGATTTATCTCGACATCCTGGTCCCGAAGTCGATTGTTTAGCTCTGCCGCCACTGTCTCATTTTGTTTCTTCAAGTCGGCTTGGAGGGCCTGTTGTCGGGTTATCTCTGCATCTTGGTCCCGGAGTCGATTCTTCAGCTCGGCCACTGTTTCCTTTTCTTTCTCCAAATCAGCTTGGCGTCCAGTTATCTCTCCATCTTGGTCCCGGAGCCGATTCTTCAGCTCTGCCACTGTTTCCTTTTCTTTCTGCAAATCAGCTTGGAGGCGAGATGTTTCGTGGGCATCGTTTTCTTGATGTGCACTGGCCTCTAGGGCACCTTTCAATAACACACGTAGCCCTATCAAGACACTCCGAAGCTCTTCCTTGCTCATTCGGTCCTCTCGGTCCGTGTCGGCTTCAATCGAAAAAGGCTCGACTTGACTCCGACTCTCACCCGCGGCGCCGGCGTCATTCCAAATTGGCTCGACTTCGCTCCGACTCTCACCTGTGGCGGTTTCGTTCAAAAGATGCTCCACCCTCCTAGGACGAGCTTCGTCTTCCGGGGAGATAGCAGTCTCTGGCTGAAGTTCGCCCGAAAGGCCGGTCGATAGTGGCACTGCGGGGTCGGTGTGAATATCATCAAGCGGAGCATCGGTGTGAATATCATCAAGCGGAGCATCGGTGTGAATTTCATCAGGCGCAGAATCGGTGTGAATATCATCAAGCGGAGCATCGGTGTGAATTTCATCCGGCGGAGCATCGGTGTGAATATCATCAGGCGGAGCATCGGCTGGAGGGGAAGGGGTCGGAACATGCGGCAATTCGGAGGATTCCGATTCGTGGTCATCGAATGGCGCTGGGTTATCATCTGGCCCAGGAGGATCAGGCTCGATTTCAGCCTCTTGGGGCTGATGACTTTGACTCGAACACGATTGATGATCATCGGGCTCTTTCGATAGATGAGAAGGCTCAGGCTTGGCGTCAGTACGCTCAGAGACTCTTGATTCGGATGTATCTGAGCAGGACCTCTTGCGACTCGATGGGTAGCGAACTGTCGTGTTTGAAGGTAAAAAAAAGGGTGAGAGGAAGTAACTTGATCAGAGTTGGATCCGAGACGGCTATGAAAAGATCCGGACAACTTACAAAGCAGCTTTGCAACTTTTTTACGATCTTTAGCACTGTCCCATCTAACCACCCATGATGGATGTGAGCCACCAAGCCCTTGAAGCCATAGGTTGATTGAACCAGCTTTTTGCCTTTTGATTTCAAATCCCAGATATCCACCGAGTGTGTGCTCTTGTCGCAGCTGCTCGATTTCGTTAGTCGGATCGGCTAGAGACAGAACACGAATGGTTTAGGAGTTCCATCCTCAATTGAAGCTTGATAAATCGTGGATATCAACTCACCAAGATAAGAGAGCGGGTCGTTGATGAATTTGAGGATGAATCTCTTGTCGTCAGCATCGATCGAGCTTCGGGATATGTACCGGACCATTCTCGACAGATGGTCAGGGTCGTCATAGTCATTAAGACTGGCGATCAGATCGGCTGTTTCTGCATCAGGTTCATAGCTATTTCGAGGCGGGGTGACTTGATCATTGTTCGAAGAGAGCAGAGGGGATGGCGGGTTGGGCGTCCTAGCCTGGCCGAGGTTTGAGTATTCGTCCTCAACCTCACTGCTGTGATGGCTCGAGGAGTCATTGGAAAATAGGTTCAATGCAATGTCTTGGGCTTGTGAAGTTTCTTGGGTGGGTGTAGCCGGCCCATCTGAATCCTCAGCTGGCTCGGATGGGTCTTGAGTGGGAGAAGGGCTCAGATGATCGCGAGTGGAAGTCTTGGGATTCGGGTCGGCTGCGGCTATGAAAAGCAAAATTCATCAGTTTTTTCTTCTCTTTCCCTACAGTGAATAAAATGAAAGGTCATAAGAGAGGTAAGATAGAAAATACCAGGTGGATTAGGTTTGAGTTTCTTCTGTTTTCTTTTTGAAATTGAATCCTCGGCTTCTCGGATTGGTTCTTCGGGCAGAGAAGAAGAGGTCAAAGGAAGGCGAATAGGAGTTTTGGGCGTCGGATTAGCTATGGTTGTTGCAAGCAAAATTCATCAGTTTTTTTTTTGTTCGTTTTTAGTGAAGAAAGTCAAAGGCTAGAGAAATAGTGATACCTGGGGGAGTAGGCCCAGGTTTCTTCTGTTTTCTTTTGGAGCGTGGAGTCTTGGCGACTTGGAGTGGATCTTCGGGTAGAGACGAAGAGGTCATAGGGAGGCGATTGGGGGTCTTTCGATTCGGATTAACTGTGGTTATCACAAGGAAATCCATCAGTTTCTGTATTCTTATAATGCGGAAGACGAAGAAGAAGAAGAAGATGTTACCAGAAGGATTAGGTTTAGTTTTCTGGTTTCCTGTGTCGAGTTCTTCATCTGATTGAGATTGAGTTTCTGGGATGACCGTTTGCTTTAACTTTTGAGATGAGTTGAGTTGAGAGGGAGTAGAAGGTTGCGGTGAGGACTGATGATCATGGATTGAGTGTAGCTTGGATGAGACAGGACTAGCAGGGGTGGAAGTTTCGTGAGTCTTTCTTCGTTTTCGCTTAGTGCTTATGATACTACTGCTGGAGGGAGTGCTATGCGGATTATCGACCATTGATAGACGAGTACTCCTGCGAGTTAACTCGGCGGTCGTCTTGGCTGTTGTTGAATGGGTGCTTGACCAATATGAGATTGATTCAGATCGGTAGCTGTTCCGGGTTGAGCTTCGTCTCTTCCTCTTCCTCTTCTTCTCCTTCCAGTCTTCTACTAGCAGTTCGTTCGCCAAACTCTTTGGCTCCCAGGTCGGTTTCCATGCTTTATTCGTCTCTGGGTCGATTCCAGCCCATCGGATGTAATATTTCCCCCCGCGTTCCTTCAAGATCTCGATCGCCTCCCACTCTGTTTCCTGTGAGGATGACTCGGCCATCGAGTCGTTTTCTTGAATCGTTTTCGGTTTTTGTTGTTTTTGTTGTTGTGGGTTTTGATCAGGACCTGATGTATGCGCCTTGGTCAGTTGGTTGGTTCCGAGTCAAGTCAGGGTGCAATGAGAGACAAAGGCAGTGGAGTGGGTCATGAGTGATATCCGATATCCGGACAAGAGATATTATTGTGTTTGCATGAAAGCTTGGAGGCTCCAAATTTTTTATCTTCGATGTTCAACCGACATGTATGCATTTAAACTCAAAACCCATTCAACTTCAGGTGGCCCAAAACCTCCCAAAACAAAATCGCACCTGTCATCTGATCAGACAGAAAGTCTGAGTTCATGCAGCCTGCATGCCATTTCGTGAGACTTGATAAACATAAATAGACCCTGCTGACCAGACCCACTCATACGAACCCTGCTGACCAGACCCACTCATAGGAACACTCATGCGGTGTCATTGGACTGCAAGCAACCTCCCCATATCCGGCCCAACCGGTATTCTAGGATTCATTATCAGGTAGCCAATTTACTCCCCCCTTGTTTCAATTGCAATCGACTCTGATTTGCAACTTTCTCCTTCCTAATCATCAGGTCGCAATGCCTTTTATCAACTATCCTACACCGATCAAGGTGGTGGCCGTAAGAATGGTGATTCAAGATCACCCTCGAGATTTCATTCGTCAAACTTTGGGCTATCCAATATCCGACCAATCCTTTGTTCGTTGGCTTGATCTATACGCAATCACCAAATGTGTTGTCCGCAACCCAGAAGATTACGAGGCGCTGGGCCGCCCAAGGAAACTAACCACCGAGGATTCGACCTTCATGATTCAGTTAGTTCACGATGAGCCTGGGTTGTTTTTGGATGAGATTCGCGAACGCCTATACGACGGGACCGGGGTCCTCCTTAGCATGGAAGCGGTTCATGACAATTTGGTCAATCAACTCTCGATCACCTTAAAGAAAGCGGACACGGTCAATGCGCGCAAGAACTTGATCATGAAGTACAAGTACATTGAGGAGATTGAGCAGTATCCGGCTGAGTTCCTGGTATTTACAGGTGAGCCATCTATTTCTCACACCTTCAACTCTTGATCACATTAATTTGCATTCTCATGATCATTGCACCTCCTCTGACAGACGAGAGTGCTATATGTGACCGAGACCTCCTTCGCACGTTTGCGCGTTCACCCAAAGGTGCTCCAGCGGCTCGAACTTTGGTCCGTCAGAATTCCGATCGGGTCAGCATCCTTCCGGCCATCGCAATTGATGGAATCGTGGCGATGACGGTCCGCGAAGATACTTTTAATGGGAAAAAGTTTCAGCATTTCTTGAAATGGGACTTGGTGAGTTCATCCCATTTCCTACTGGTTCGGACCTTGCATCCAAACTCACGTCACCATTCTTTGATGTAGCTCCCCCGTATGAACCGATATCCTGCTGAGAAGTCGGTGCTTGTGTGTGACAATGCACGTATTCACCGAGGCCCCAGGGTTCAAGAGCTCTGCGATGGGGCTGGAGTTCGCCTAGTCTATCTTCCTCCGTACTGCCCAGAACTCAATCCAATTGAGCTCTGCTTTGCGGCATTGAAATCGAAACTTCGAAGGACTCAAGCGTTGGTGTCTACAGCTGATCCCCATGTCGACATTCGCCGCGCGGCCGCGACGGTTATTACTGACGATTTGTGTGAGGCTCTGTACAAACACTGTGGTTATGAACGTGCGGTTATCATGGCCGATGTGGAAGAGCTTGACGAGGACGACGAATGAAGTGTTTGGTCTGAACTTAGTGTCGCTGTTTGCCTCTCTTGTCCCTGTCAGTTATCCACTGGGGTATTCGGGGTGTTCTCTTTCTGTTCCTTGTCAATCTTCCTCACAATCTCTTGTCTGGAGGGGTTGTTCCCTTGCTTGAATCTGAATATACACAAATCAATCCAATTGTGCACATGCCTCCGACAGGTCTTTCTCTATTTTATCTCTCTCAGTCTCCATCGGGTGGCTTCCCTAGGGGTTTCATCCCGTTGGGAAGCGAGCATTTTTCCATGGCTCTGAAAAATATCAGTTGTATCTCTGTTTAATTGTTGTGGGTTCCCTAGGGGATTCTTCCTGATGAGTAAGCACAAATCTGCCATGACTCCGAAACACAGTTATCTTTCTCCGTTTTATCTGAGCCATCTGGTGGCCCTAGGGTTTTCATGCCGGTGAGCAAACCCCTGTAACATGAGAATCTTTCATCTGACAAGGTGCACCCAAGGGGCCCAAGAGGGTCTATAGTCATTTGGTTTGACAGCACGTTGGCGCGCAAGACGTGCTTGACAAGCACGTTGCTTTTCAAATGGGTCCTGGTCCACATGATACGCAGTCAAATAATCATGTGTGATCTGGAGAGGTAGACCCATCCAATGAGCTGCGGCCCGGCTCCCACCTAATCATTGCAACCTCGATGCTGGCGTCTCATGATAATCTTTCCCTTGGGATCCTGGGTCCAGGCCATGGGCCCCATAAGCTCGCCTGAAGGGCTGGTCTATTTATACCGAGCCCCATTTGGAGAGGTCGCAATCCAATCCAGGTAGGCCAAACAACTGGAACTTCTTTGACGGGGCTTGTCACATTTAAATACTACTTGGTGTGTTTCCTTTGTTGACTGCCACAAGATGATGCTGCATACGTGTTGACTCCATGGACAATGACGACCATAGGTCATCTACAAAAGATCCACGTTTAGGCTCTAATCTCTTCCGAGGCGTGGTTAATTGATACTTTGGTCTGTAACACTTGAGGTAGGTAAGTGTTTCAGATCGTGCATTTTAGTATCAGAAACTGATGGAATTATTAATAGCAGTATGGCACTTCCTCGTCCGGAAGACTCGGGTGTGCCCGACGCGGTGGAACTTGAGCTTGAGGCTTACAATGCCCAGCTGGAGAACCCGCCACGACAGTGTCCTATAAATCTTGATTATATTCTTTATCTTCAACGACTTGCGATCGATCGACCGGCAATGGGGTGTCCCAACAGCCTCACCTGGGAGGAAATCGGCCCGGAACCGCTGCCAACTCCGATGATCCTTGACCTCCAGTCGATGACTTGGAAACGGTTTCAAGCCCTTGTCCTGGCGCACTTGTGCAAAGATAGCCCCGAATTGCACAAATTCCTTGTGGGTCGGAACCATGCTCAAGAAATTGTCTGGCTTGCTTCCATCAACGGTCACCGCTTTTATGCCGTTAGCTGCGAGGTCCCAATTAAAGGAAGCTTGGATTTCCTTCAGTTCGCGGCGGCGGCGTATAAGGCATACCCGTCAGCAGTCCTCTTCAAATTAGTGATGAAGGACCCAAGCGTGACACATGGGCCCAAAGCGCCGGTAAGATTCCACAACCACACTCTCCTAACATGACCCCCATTGGGGATAAGGGCATACAACAGGCTGATCCGACATTGCGTGCTCGATGCCCTCAGATCTCCCCCAAAGAGCAGGTGTTGCGCTCGTTGAACAACATTGTCGGGTGCATCCTCAGCGGCAATACTTATTCTGCCGGGGCCACCACGATCTTGATCAACCCCGATGACCCGCGGCGACGAATGCAGATCAGCCTTGCTGCTGTGATTGACTGGGCACAAGCAATCCGCCTCAAGAATCCTGGCGTGGATTACACCCACCCACCCGATAATGCCAACTACCGCTGGGTGGATTGGACATCTCGCAAACGAGCCGCCAGTAGCCAAAGCATCCCCCCGTCCAAACGAAACCTCATGGACGCGAGCGCAATTATGTCAATGGTAGTTACTAGTCCCTGTCTAGTCATTCCCCAACCCGTGACCCATACTGATAGAACGCGTGTTTGTCATCGTCTGGGAAACAGGCCGCAAGAGTCAAATCGGTCGGATTCAATAAGCCTGGAGCCGATACAGCGGCGGATGCTGGAGCCGATACAGCCACGGACGAGATATCATCCACTCGGAAGACCCCCCTTCCCCCTGCCTCGGCGGCCTTAGAGAAGCACCACATGGAGACATACCTCCGTGTGTCGCACATTGGACAAGACGACCAATTGACCCGTGCCCGACTCCTCCTCCACGGGATAACTCACTGGACCTTCTTCAGATCGTCCTCTGAGCCTGAGCTGACTCAGCTCGGCTTCCCTTTAGGTATTGCGAGACTCTTGTGTGAAGGGGTGGGGCGATTGGAGCGATACGAGGCGGACATGTCTAGATTTTCTACATTGAGCGCCGCAGGACCAAGTGGGAGTCAAATGGATTACTGACTGATTAGTGATGGGTGGCCTAAGTACCCTGACCCTAGTAGCTGACTACACAGTATCTGTAGTTTCTTAGCCCATGTGGCCTAGTTTTCTTTCTATCGTGGCCTAGTTTTCTTTCGATCTATCCGTCCGTCTCTTCTCTGTCTGTGAACGGTACCAATGCTCAGCCTGTCCAATCGTAGCAAGAGGCTCTAGCCTTTGTTAGTCCTTGGTCATTCTAAAGAATTAAAAGACTCTCTCTGCGATCGTTTTAGTAGGCTACCCAGTGACCTCGTATAAGTATAATGCAGAATCAAACTTTGCAATGGGTATCATATAGCAACCAAACCTTAAGGCCCCCTGAGCTCTCAATTGGTGCACCATCACCTCCGCGGCGGCCACTTGCCTCCCGCCGCAGTGGGAATTGGCTTCCCCTGAGGTCGTCTCAATCTCACTTGTATCTCTCCTGAAGACATGGTGTGGATTCCTTGAGTTATAATTTAGGAAGATGAAATAATTGAATAACCGTCGATATCGTAGATATCATAAGCAACAATCAATGAAAGCAACATGCCAGCAAACCAGTAAGTACAGCGCAACGTTTTGGGTATTGACGTGGGAGAGCTTCTTTGAGAATTGATGAGAGAAGTGACAATTGAACATCTACAGCAATACAAGCTCGACATTGGGGTTGTTCATGTAGAAGAGTATCTACAAGAATCAAGAGCGAATTTTTTTGGCTGCCAGATAACGATCATAGCGTGCTACATTATCAAAAAGACATGTGACTGCTCCCATGCTCAAGCCCAGGCCGCACACGTCGCTGCGCTTGAGCCCGCCAGCAAAACTTTTGTGCGACATCATCTCGTTAGAGATCAGAATCTCCAGGACCGCATCGGTGTTGACCAGTTTCTTACCCAAAAAAGCGAGATAGTCGGCCATGGGGGGGTCTTCATCAGGGTCGTGAGAGTGCCCAGGGGAGCTCGGAATGGCCTCGATGTCCCCCTTCCCACGCCGGGCGTTAAGAGCGTCGGCGAGGGCGATGATCTCCATCATTGAAGGCATCTGCCCAGGGGCCTGCCCTGGAGCATGACCCCCAACCGGGGGCACCACTCGTGCCTTCTTGCGACGGTTCGCCTGAAGACTCTCGTAAGGCAAGCTCCGGGGAGGGGTGTCCATGTCCACCCCATCGGCGATCCCCGCCTGATGAGAAAATTTTATGCTAGTGAATAACAATTAGATTATGGGAATATAAACAATGACCTGACTCACGAGTGCAATGCCCCATTCTTGGCAGGCCTTGTTAGTTAGAAGGATGTACTTGTCGGTTTCGCCGGCATTCACAAAGACCGGGATTTTCGGGTCATAATCGGATTTGATGGGATACTTGTCGTAGATGCGCTTCATGTGAAAATTGATGTTGTCCCAATCCTCTGGCTCAAGGTCCCCGTCGGGCGGGGGACTTCCACCCTCGCTGTCGTCATCACCCGTCGACTTGCGCTTCAATGATAACGCTCGATCTTTATCGATAGCGGCTTGTTGGGCCGCCCTTTTCGCCAACAAATCGACCTTCTTACCCTGTTGGATCGATGTGTTTGGGTTGACCATTTTGATTAATAATGCGACCTCTGGTTTCTTGGTCGTCCTAATCGCATTCATCCACGCGTCGAACACCAAAGGGGTATCAATCTTGATCTTATCGGCCTTCTTCCAGCCGGCCACCCTGTCGATAGAACCAGTCCACGTAATATCGTACTTTTGACTGTCAAGGGCCGCCTGGATTATTGTCGCCGAGTTAGCTATCTCCGTGTTGCACGCGCGGATTATATCCCGACGGAAATCAACAAAGGATAGGCCTGATGCCTTGATTTGGACAGGAAAGTCATCCATCGAGTTGAGTGTGAGCCAGACCCTCTCCTGCCGCTTATTTTTACTCGCCAGGAAGAGTCTCAATCGTGTCTTAATCACAATCTCCTTCAACTACAACAGGAGATAGTGCCCGACAGTGTCAGCTATGGTGTCATTCTGATGAAGCTAAGAAGAAAGTAATTACCGGCACGACGGCCGCCGGCTCGCCATCAGGTGACTTCTTGGATCGCCTTGGGTTTGGCTAAAGGGCAGTGGATGAAATCACCGTACACCAAAGACATCAGCCATCACCTTCTAGTTCAAAGGATTTCTATCTGAATATCTATCGCTCAAATCAAATATACCCATCGACTCACTTTCATTTTGACCAGATCGCCAGGCTTGGGTAGAGACTTTGCCAACGACGTGTGGAGTGATTCCTAGTTCAATGCAGGGAGGTGGGTACAGATGGGTGCAGACAGCCCATATCAGTCCATGAAAAGAATGGTTGAGAAAAAACAATAACCGCACCGTTGTCGTAGAAATAACCGGTTCCTCGACATGGATTGGCTGAAGCACCGAATGGTTGAGAAAGTTTCCTTGACCGGAGTAGTCAATGAACTGACCGGAGTAGTCGACAATACTGTTAGGGAACGCCATTTCCGAAGAGAAAGCGGTAGTGGAGTGAAAGACTGGTGGATTGGTTGACCAGTTGGCTGGGTCGAGGGTGTTCGGTCGAGGGTCCCACGCTTGAGCGATGAACCAGCGCCTTGATGGCCATAGTCGTGCTCGTCTGGTCATGTGGTGTTCTTGAAAATTGCAGTGAGTTAATCCAGATCAATCTGGAGTTTCAGCACGCACATGTCCCAGATTGAACTTAGGTTGTTGGCAGAAACTGGGAAATCCAAAAAATAATGTGTAAAGTTCTTCACATATAAATATATATTTTAGCAAAGGATCAAGTGAAAAATTTTCGAGGCTCCAAGCTTTCATGCAAACACAATATGTACTGCCACAACCAAAGTAAACATCAACTGCGCGATCTGATCAGAACCATTTCGATATGAATACACAGTCTCAGATGACTTGATCAAAATAATAATCCATCGATCGAAGCAAGACCAAGTCGAGCCCTTCCTGGTTTCAGTCCATTATATCCCCAATCCATCCATCCCACTGCCACTAGAATCGCACACCTAGCAGCAACCAATTCATCACACTCACTCAGCTGCACAGTCCCAGAGCTATGTTGGAGTAATCAAAAGGCTCAAAGGGAAGGCCCTCTGCTTATACAGCTCACCAGGCATCACCATAGCAATTGCAGGCATATGATTGGAGGACTTCCCGTCGGTCTGGGATCCTAGATTTAGCCTTCCTAAAGCCAGATTCCAAATCTTGTTTGCTGATGAGAAGTCAATGTCACTTGATTCTCTTCACCAAATTGAGTTTGGGATCTAGGATTAGACCTTCCAAATCAAGGGTTCCAGATCGACGGGAAGTCCTCCATTAGTGTCCTGTGGCTTTGAGTGGCACCAGAGGTGGGCCTCCAGAAGCAATATGAATGACTCCACTTGCACATCCATTCCCCTTGACTCCAAAGCTTATATTGAAGGGTCTGTTACGGATCAACTGTGGGACATACAAGAATATCTGGTATGTGAAGCAACAATCCAGTGAGACATGGAATGAAATCCATTGATTCTACCACAGCCAACAATCCCAAACACACATGAAAGGCAATCAAATAGGGAAATAGGGAGGAAAGTTTTTGGAAATGAAGAACAGACCAAACCTAACCAGCTGTTTGGATGATTCCTTTTGAAATTATTCAAAATTCCAGTTAGTTGATTTCTCTTCTTTGAAACCAGCCCAACATTTTTCAAAAAAAAAACTAATTGGTAGGGAGGTAGATTGGACATGAAAAATCATCAGGCTTTCTCAACATGGTCTCCAATTTTGAAATAAAGAAAAAAAACTCTCTGTTTGCTCACTTTCCCGTGCAGCATGCTCCCTTTTGTTGGAATTCTGTGACTCCTGCCCAAATGAGACTTCACAAGTTATTCTTAATTATTCATTTTTCATTGATTGGATGTTTGTCATACTTTCTTTACCCGTGACCAAAGATTGGCACTCTTGTATGTAGTTCCTTAACCTCAGTCATAAGATACAAGAAATTAACACCATTGGTTCTGATCGTCTGGTCCCTCTAAGGTCTCTTTTCTTCCCTCAGTCATCTCATCCAAGGCTTTCATCCCTCAGCAAGATTGAGTCTAAATTTAGTTTGATCAACCACTGTAGTCTAGCTTGTTCTAATGATGCTGAAATCCTCGTGATCCATCTGTGAAAGCTTCTTTCCTCCAGAATTCCGCAGCCCATCTCAACTCATCATCAACTCAAAACCTAACGTCATCTCAAATCAAAACCTAACTCTCCTTCCTCTCCTTCCGTTACTCCCACTCCAAACAACACTCATCTCCTCACTCCCTTCCTGTCCGTTCTCTATTCTTTTCCCTCCGAGTCCAATCATACTCACTCTTCAACTCCAATACCTATCCTCCTCTGTCATCCTGCCTTTGACTCATATCAATATCGACTCGACTATCTCCGACATTGTCAACTTTCCCCTTGAACTCAGCATCTCATTCACTGTCAAACATCATCTTCACTCTCTCCGACCCTTTCAATTCATCATCATCATTTGGATCACTTCAGTATCCACTTTGGTGAGAAAATAACTACTTCCCTCGACTGTCGACCTCAACTAACTCTATCTTCCTTTTTAGTCTTGTGTCTTGTGTTCTCCTCTATCCTGTCTTCCCTTATTCAGTTGTTTCTCTTAAGATTCTTCTTCTGTTGTGGTAAATTCATTCTTCATTTCATTACCTTCTTTTTTTTCTTTCTATGTTCTGAATTCTAACTTGTCTTGGTCTGCAGTCTGGTTTTGGTTTCTTAGCAATAAAAATCCTCTAGTTTTCTCAAATGATGCTTAGAGTATTCTACTGTCTTCCCTCTTCTCATTGGCTATACTTTCATCACCTTTTTCAATCCCCCACAGCTCCAAGGAAGCTGAGCCAAATCCAACAAGAAAAATCCTGAATTGATCTATTAATTACTCTCAAGGGACACCATCTATAACTTCCTTTGCCTTCCCCATCTCTCTTTTTTCCCCCTTTTTGTTGATGAATCATCATTCTTTGTCTAACATTCAGTGATCCATTTTTTTCATATAATTTTAAGCATCAAATTGACAATTTATTAATCTAATGCGGGAACATATTATGAAACCTTAGGAGTACCCTCAGCACTGGCTTGAAGCAAAATCCAACTTGATCAAATCCACACCTTTGTAGCTCAAAAAATCTGAGGATTTGACCATTACAACAAAGCTATATTCTGCCACCTCTACTCTACAGGAAACAGTCAAATAGAGTCCTGATTCCATAACTGCTAGTTTTGGGGCAATGGATCAATGTTTGAGTAAAAAATTTAAGCCACAGGCAACCTTAATTTTAAACACATGACATTAAAACTCCTGGTATGAATTGTGCTATTGAAAATAAATGCTAACGTAAAACTGATTAGGGGAAGCTATAGATTCAATTCTGCAAATGTCTTATGACAGAATCAATGATAATTAGCAGTCTTTTCTTGAACCACAGCTCTTCCAAGGCTGATGATTCCATTGCTATTTCCACTATCAAGTGGTGTGATTCCAATGAACAGCAGTCATGACAAAAAATTCTCACTTCTCTATCATTACAAGGACAGTAATTTCAAAGAATGTGGTCATATTGTTTGGAGGGATCCAAATTGGAGGGATCCAAAAGATGCTTGATGCCTGCATATATTTTCCTCAGATGGAGGGAGTGTTATTCATTCAAACAATGCATTTTGATTGTGAAGGCCTTCATCCCAAAAAAAGACAACTCCAAGCCAGAAAGATGGGTTTGACTTCCAGAATTCCATGAGATCATGGGACAATTGGCACTAAAAATTGAGAGTGGTGTGTTGGCTTTGGTGACAAGATATGGCACAGTTGCTTTCTTTAGTTAAGTTGAAACTTCTTGAAGGGTTTGGTGAAAAATATCAGCCCAAACAGATATTATATTGATTTACCATTCACAACCTACACTGTGACCAGGTATAACCACAATGTGCCAAAAAAGGCCTTGGGGTCCTCAGATATCACCCAAGGTACAGGGCTGTCTAGAGCCCTTTCAGCAGGTTCGGATCCGTAAGCTCCTTCCAGCTGTGGGGCCCTTCGACATTCGACAAAGACAAAATTGAAAACTTCGAGGCATGAGATGATGACTCATGTCGCTTCATGCAGAATGCGGTACGATGACATGAGAGACGTTATGATATTGAGGCTGCATGTGTGAAGGTGTGTGAGACTGACTGATCAGCCCATGAATTGAAAAAATTGCGGTGGCTGTGCTCCTTGGTCATGGGACTTCGGAGGAGAGCACCCAGGCTCACAAGCGTAACACTTGCCGGTGACGTTCAGCTATAAATACACACTCGACCAACCGTGCTTTGGTTCTTTGCTCATCAACAGCTTCGGTTTATCTAACAGCGACCCAGCTTTCGAATCGATTCACGGCTAGTCTTCAACCTCTGCGCTTTCGAAACTCTAGTCCAGTGCCAGCACAAATGTTTTCCCGCTCGTTGCTATTTATACCATGTCTTTTAGTGCTTTTGGTAGCCTATTCCAGTTTAGCTACTTCCAAGCAGGTGTGATGGCTTTATTTTTTTTTTACTTTAGACGGCTCTATGAAACTAGAAAATCTAGAAGAAGTATCCTGACGACCTGATCTTATTATTTTTTTTTTCCTCCAGATCAAGAACAAGCAAAACGCGTCGATATGTTTCTGGGACGCAAAAAAACGGCACAACGTGTTAGCGGGTCATTTGAATTCCGAACGAAAGTTTGTTCCTCAACAGGGCAATAACGCACCGAGTGGCGACTGCCAATGCGACGAATCAAACCCTCCCCGACTCTCCTGTCAGGAGCCCATCCACAACAGCCCATGGCCATCCGTTGCTGACGTCTACTGTAGCAATGACGATAATTGCAGTCGATAATCGAACAATCTCCCTCCGATGGCATCTTCTTACTTGGCCTTTCCGACCTCATTTGACTACTGAAAGTACATTTGTTGCTCGAATTTGTGATCTGCTCAATTGATGCCCATTTTGAGCCTGCGTGCGGTAGAAACATGCCCCTAGTGCCGTATGTAAGAAGATGTTCTGAAAAAGATACATCTGTGATCGTGGATGTGAGGATTGCTTTGTGGTGTTCCAAGTCTGATGTTTGTCAATACGAATGATCGTGATAGATATTGTGCTAAATATCCACATGTGACTATGAGTCTTGAGGTTATCAGGTTGATGATTCAACCGGCTTGCACCTTGTCTGTGTATCCTGGGCTACGTCTGGTGTAGCCGTATGCGGTTAAGTTAGGGGTTTAAGTCTATTCAAGTTATGTACAACTCTGGCGAGCTCTCTGAGTCATGTAGACCTGGAAAGGACGAACCAACTATTTATTTACTAACGAATCTCGAATGTCGTTGCGCCACGGCCTCTCAGCTGTAACCCGGAAGAGTCCGTCTGATGTGGTGATTATTACCGCCTTGAGAACGGCCATCGCACGCTCCGGGAAAGGCTCGTTCAAAGACAGCTATCCAGAGGAGCTGTTGTCACATGTGCTCGATGCGAGCCGACAAAGGCTGGAAGGAATGAGTGTCCGAGCTGGCCAGGTCCAGGATATCGCCGTCGGTACGGTCTTGATGGAACTCGGTGGGGCCAAAAGTGGTCGGCTTGCCGCACTCCATGCTGGGTAAGTCCGCTCAGACGGTGTATCAATGTTCTGAGAATGTTTGTCCATCAAGAATGTAACACTTCGGTTGGTCACCCTCCAGTTATCCATACCAGACCACCTTTCGGACCGTCAATCGGCAATGTTCCTCTTCACTTCAAGCCTTGACCGATATTGCCGCAACAATCGATTCGGGTGCGATCGATTGCGGAATCGCGGCTGGGACGGAGTCGATGACTCGTAACTACGGCAGTCGGGCGATCCCAACAGACCTTTCCCCCAGTCTTCGCGAAAGCCCGGTTCAAGATGCGCGCGACTGTCTCCTGCCGATGGGCCTCACCAGCGAGGCAGTGGCCGAAAAGTACGGGATCGCAAGAACGGCCCTGGACGAATTCTCGTTATCAAGTCATCTCAAGGCCTCTGCCGCTGAGCAAGACGGTCTATTTGCGGACGAGATCGTGCCGATCGAGGTGAACTACGTGACCGAGGACGGCTCGACGGTGAAGAAGACGGTCTCAAAGGATGAGGGCATCCGTCATGGCCTCACGCTCGAGAAACTCAATGGTCTCAAACCTGCTTTCAAACCGGATGGGCGGAGTACTGCCGGAAATTCTTCTCAAATCAGCGACGGAGCTTCGGCCGTGACGTTGATGCGAAGATCGATGGCCGAACAGCTTGGTTTGAAACCGCTCGCCAAATTCGTTGGCAGCAATGTCGTCGGGGTTCCTCCACGCATCATGGGAGTTGGGCCGGCCTTCTCGACTCCTGTATTGCTGAAGCGCTTCGGGCTTGAAGTCGGCGACATCGATTTGTTTGAATTGAATGAAGGTGAGCTTACCAATGTTCAACATATTAGCCAATAAAATCATCGCCCGAGCTAACAAACACTCTATGTCCCACATGTAGCCTTTGCTTCTCAAGCGTTGATGACTATCGGACACCTCAACCTAGACATCACTAAAGTTAACCCGAAGGGGGGTGCAATAGCGATCGGCCATCCTCGTGAGTTCCTATCCGCCTTTGATTTATCGTCCTTTCCTCCGCCCGTCAGCGTTTGAATTTAAAGCATTAATCTAACTTCTTGTTACCAAAACAGTTGGCGCGACGGGGGGAAGATTGGTCAGTTCACTCATCCATGAGCTCCGACGAACCGAAAAGAAGATCGGCGTGGCAGCTCTATGCTGTGGCACCGGGTTCGGAAAATCATCTCTATTTGTTGCCGAGTGAACCCCACATGGCATCGATGATCGATAGAGAAAGCTCGAAAGATTCGCACCAGATCTCAGCTTGTCACAGAGCTTTTCTGATTATTTTCGATCAGACACGATGATACTCTTTTCTTCACCATCTTTTTGAGCCGAAGATCCTGTGTGTAGATATTTCTACGCATTTGGGCTTTGTTTAAAGAAGAAGAGAAACACGCATTTTTATATAGTTCTCAAACTACTTGTATACTTAGAAGAACCACAATAAACGACTCGTTGAATTTGACTGACAATGCCAATGTTTTGCCACCAGCTGAGTTTTTGTAGTGATTTGGAATCTTTAGAACATGCCTCTCCCCGGGTAACGTGCGCGAGTTGGACTTTTGAATAAGCAAACCGAGTTGGCACTGCAAAGCCGCCAAAGAGACCGACAAACACCGACTTCTTGTTTTAGAGAGCCGGGGTCTTCATTCCGCCAAAAGCCTGATTTTGATGATAGTATACGCTACTTATTAATTACAACACACATCAATTTATCGAGACGAAGCAGAAAGATATCTGACTAGTGGTAAAGCATTCAAAGACGAAGAAAGCAGAATAAGATATGTGGATCATCGTGCGATAAGGGCGAGTGGCCAAAAAAAGGAGAAACTGTCCTTTTGTGGTCTTGCCTGCTCGAGAGACATTTGCCAAAAGTCCTCCCAAAGCCTCTGTGAGCATTTATTCCTCACCCCGCCATCATGAATTAGGCTTAGCAATACCATATACACAAAGCGTCTCTCTACCCGTTTAACAAGAAGTACAATGCTCCTGCATCCATTATTATTTTTGACATGAATTTAACTGTCTATAAGCAGCTTGAACAAATTGTAGGCGAAGGTATTTTACTAGCTACATACGAATGGAAGACCGAAAAAACCCGTGGAAAGCCGAGATGCCTGGCTATAAATTTACCCCATACTCATGGCACAAGTTACATTTGAAGGTGTTCCCAATCTATGGAAGTGGCGATTGTTCTTCACCCCCAACAAGTCAGTCTGGACCAATTTTGAGCTCTGAAAGATTGCACTCGGATTCTAGCGAGAACCGCGCTCTGGAGTCTGGAGTCGGCTAGCCGTCCACGATAAATTATTTAGATGATGCGGATCTACAGCCGCCGTGTAAGCAAAACACCCAATAAGATCTTCGTATCTCCACTGAACGATGTGTCTGGCTGGAACGCCAGTTCAACAGCCGAGCTGATGCGTAATTAAGTGTCTTCTCCTCCCGAAGCTTTGCAGCCGCCGGTAACCCGGCCCTACATAGTTTGGCCTGACGGAATCTAGAAACAATAAGTAGACCAGAAATACATAATGAATTGTAGATCTCTGTGTATCGGTTACGAAGAATGTGATCCTACACCCCGGGCGCAGTTCGATGTGGGCGGACACCGATTTTTTCGGTGGATCCCACGAGTGACCACTGCGGCGGGTCGGACCAGCTCCTGACCGTCCACAGTTTTGCGTGGACTCCACGCATCATTCCACGGGGCTATTCCGAGGTCGTCCCGAGTCATCCACGTGTCACAATGGGTCATCGGGTGCTCCCCGAGGTCTTCTTGGGTGGAACACGTGTGTCATCGTACCCGTGTAGCTCACGGATCTCCGGGATGTGGAGGGCACGTGCAAGCAATGAGAATTTTCGGGTCGGCCGTGTGTTTCCGTGGGATCGTCGTGAATCCCGAGGTGACCCTCATCTGGTTTTTGGGTGTTTCTGGTGCTCATGCTTGCCCTGTTTGGTCGATTTTGGTGGGGACGGAAGTAATGGCTGCCCACAGGGGGTAGTCACCTAGTGCATTACGACAGGTGCGAGTAGGAGCAGAAATAACAACCAGAAGGAAACAGGAGTGAGGAGCAGGAGAGAGAACATGCATAAGAAAACAGGAGCGAGGAGCAGGAAAGAGAACAGGCATAAGAGAACAGGAGCAAGGAGCAGGAGAGACAACAGGCATAAGAAAACAGGAGCGAGGAGCAGGAGAGACAACAGGCATGAGAAAACAGGAGCGAGGCGCAGGAGTGAAACGAGGCAGAAAAATCTCAGAGAAAAATTGAAAAATAAAAAATAAAAACAATAGGAGGAGGATGAAATATTTTTTTCACAAATGCATCCAGCACCGCTGATGTGCCCACCAGGGGCAAAGGGGAATAAATTCATTTCTTTGAGGTTAGTCAAAACAGGTCACCGGTGCCATCGGCACCGTCCTGGTCTTCGTCTTCTGGACTGGCCAATTGAGCTCCTGTGTCCAAAGCCTCTTGGACTTCCTCTGGGGACGGGAGGGATACGACTATCTTTGCAATGTCAGTGGCCGACTTGGTGCCATCAAACAAATGTCTGTTGAAGGCCAAGACAAGTCGGGCAAACCTAGGAAATGTGGAACGGTGTCAGTTATCATGTGCAGATGATCGCTATCGCACATTATTAAACATACGCGGTTTTATAGTCACGAGACTCTTGGCGCAAATTCTCTAGATGTCGATCTATGACCTCCCAAGGCGATCGCACATGTGTCGTCGTGCGGTCTTGCTGGCGTTGGACGTACATATGGAGCCTCAAGAATCCAATCCGAACCCTCATAGGGGATTTGATTGAGCTTACTATGTCTCCACGGTTCATCATTTCGTGCTCGGGAGACATCTTTTGCAATATCTATGAAGGTAGAGGATAAGCATGGGCATCCAAGACCATTGCATGTTCAAGGCTCGGACTCACTTTGATGATGACTCCATCAAGGGTTGGGACTGCGTCGTTGGATGATCGTCGGCCTGGTCTGGCACCCGTCATGATCTGTTGTGCATTGAGGTGAATGATCGGATGGAAAAATTGATAAAAGGTGAATTAAACTACGTACCAGTTTTGCAAAAGCGCTTTTCTCGTACTTAAGCAGCTCACGGATTAGCTCGTTCAGGCGGCGGATGTCGTCGTGATTGTGATTCAGGTATCCAGCTGGCAGATAGACAGCCTTCCAGTCTTGGGCCATGTTGTCAATGGTGTGCTGTTGGGGCCTGATTGTGGTAAGTTCTGCAGGCTTGATAAATGGTTTGGGGATGGGGCGTACCTTCACTAACAACAGGGGTGTCCTAGTGTTAAGGGCTCGGGTCCTGACAGTATGAGTTCGGCCATAACTCATGAGATCGGGGCGGAGGAGACAAGCCCGAAGTTTGGTTCGAATAAAGGCCTGGGGCCTGTGTCAATCTAGCGATCCCAATATGATGAGTGGTAAAAGAGTTGTCGAGTCACTCACTCTAAAGTCTCGATGCCAAACATGCGCCCTGGGGGCAGCGGGGGCTGGGGGGGCTGGGGCTGGAACGTCCTGCACACTGGACTGGGGGGCCAGTCGCTGAATCTGCTGATTCATCGACTCGAGGTACATGGTGATTCCAACCAAGTGCTCTTGCGGGGGCAGCTAGATGAGACACGAGTTAGCTGGCTACGTCACCTTTTGATTATTGGGCGGGGGTCAACTTACACTTGCCCATTGTTGAACAGTTTCAACGACGGTATCCAACATCCCAAGGGTTGTTTGGAGGGAGGCTATCATACTGGGGGTTTCATTGACTCGAGACGTCAAGCTGGAAGCACTGGGGAGGTTAGCTGATTCATCGCCGCCTTCGGCCGGAGATGAGTGGTCGTCCCGGCCGGACTCTTCTGATTCGCTGGATTTATCGGTTTCATTGTCACTGAGGGGGGGCGGTTGGGTGTTTATAGCTCCCTCGGTCGGACCTGCCAAATCCGGATGTATCATTGGAGCTGGTGTACCTTGGGGTTGGGTAGGTCTGCGGTCTGGGTATGGAGCTGCCTTGCAACGGGCGGTCTTGGTGGGCTTGGATTTTGGACGAGGGGTCTCCTCGGCTGAAACCAGGACGCCAGATCACATGAGTTTTGCATCTGATGCTGAACGTGGGTGCCCGACTTACCTGGTGTTTGAGGAACGCGGGGTCGAAATCGGGGGACAAAGGGTGCGCCAGTACCTGCTGCCATGTTTGATATAAATGGATAATTGGAGTGGGGGGATAGGATCAATACAGTATCTGATGCGAGCAAGTGTTGAGACGATTTGGAGAATCGATGGATTGATGAGGGAAGATTTGGGCTAACTCACGTTTAAGACTGGTCCGTTTTATCCTTCTGGTGACTTGTGTGTTTGAGAGAGGTTGTGAGCGTGAGCGGTTGAGCTGGCCTTGCACCATCCATGGGGCGGAACGGACCGGTCAGAGTTCGATTTTTTTTCTTGAATCTCTCACGTTTGTATTTGAAATGAGACAGGTGATGAGGTGATATCCACGTATCCCTCATCATCCGATCCGTGACATGTGCTATCGATGTGATGCACTGGTTGAGTGCGGGCGGGTCTTGGCTGAGGATCACTTGTCTCTGAGTTCATAAGCACCTCATTGTTATCTGCACCCATCATGTCTGTGCTGCACTCATCGCTCCTCATCCGCTGGCTTTGGCACGGTTCTGCCTGTCCTTTGTTTTTCCAGGAGCACTGCTTCCTTGATCCACTCTATTTTCAGATATTGGATTTCAATCAAAGTCTTAAGTTTATAACTCTTATCTTTCAATTGGACTTGGGTCCAATAATTGACTAAAATTATATTTAAACACATGATCTGTCCGATTTATTTGATTTATATCATATGGATACAATCTGATCACATAAAAATAAATTTTATGAACCCCTGTCTCATCATACATTTCATTCTATCCAAAACTTCTTTCTTGAATTATTTATTATTGGCTGGATTTTTTTCATTATTTTGAGTTTATAACACCCCATACCGTGATTACATACCTCCTTCCTCCTCTGGATCATTTAATCTTGGGCTGAAAAATTATTTCCTAATTATTCCTGCTGCAAGGGTAATTATCTCTTTCTTTATACCTTAGATTATTAACCACAAGACATTTATTTGCTTTGTCTGACCTAAGTTTAACTACCCTTTCCCTTTCTATCATTTCCAGCTCACAGATAAGCTGTTGGCCTGATTTCACTAATTCACATTGAAAAGGTTTACTTGCTCAATGGCTGATATACCAGGTATTTGAATCTCTGACCTAATTGGTGTCATGTACAAGGTGCTGATTTTATGTTCTCATGCGGTAGGATTTACCAAGATTGTAGATGGTGATGGGACCAGATACCAATGTCAATATTGTAATGGTCGATATATGACATATGTGTCAGATCACTTGAATCTGCCATCTCACAATGAGGCTGTTAGAAGATTCTTGTCAACAATGAATGATCTCTCAGCAAGTCAGGCAAGAGTTGATTACACAGCTTCAAATGTTGTTTCTACAACTGAGGGGGCAAACCGGGATGGGTCAGGTTTAGTTGAGATTCATGGGCCATCTAATATGGATTTGGACCCCGTATCGGATCAGCCTATGCAAGCAGGTCTTCCTGAACACTTACCCCAAGAACAACCTATGGCGTACACCATTGCGGATGGTGAGGATGTGGGTTTTGGCTCGGATCCTTCAGAGGTTGAGGAGGCCCCATCGGATTATTCGGAGGAGTTTCACTCCTGGGAGGTATTTGGAGATGAGGATGTTCCTGAGGCCACACAGGAAGATGCTCAATCATCCAGAAGCACAAGGCATGATTGGGAGCCTTTTAGGAGTCAGGAGGTAATGTTGTAATTTGGCCATAAACCACTGACGCGTATGATTTATTAATGTGGGGTTTTTTATAGGATTTCATGGCATGCCTCATGACTGGGTATTTGCGTAACATGCTCTCACGAGTTACATACCTCCTACTCAGGTTGATATTGGCCATGAAAAATTTAATTCTGCCGCACTGGGACTCTGTCCGCCGGACCAAGCAAAGAATCAGGACTATGCTCAATCTAACAACCAAGGAATCACTCAGTGTGTGGAATAATAAGTTGTTCACACTGAGTCTGAAGGGCATCCTTGCGAATGTATGTATGGGAAATCTTGTATATCTTGCAATCACCCCTACACAACAAGTTGATTCATAAAGCCCCATGTGGATGACTTAACAGGAACTTCTGAACCCACTGGTTACCTCAAATCTGGAGTTCTATCCTCACGACCCTGCTGGCTCACAAATAGACAGCCTGTATCAGTGTTTCAAGTGGCGCGAGGATCTATCTCGGGACCTCAGGGTCCAGATGATATACATTGGGAACAAGCACTACTATATTTTTGAACCCGTACGGCTAACCTCGGGAGAGGTCATTGTGCCCATCTACTTTTACAAGTCCAATGGAGGCATATATGCCAAATGCCTGACTCCCCATTATGAGCCCACTAAAGGAGGCAAAGGTCTGAAGTTGGTGATTCCGTCAGACATCAAGTTCTGTGATCAGGCCCTGCAGACTATAGATATCAAGGAATTTGACGAGATGTACTCTGAATTGTATCTGGAGGACAATGTGAGTTTGGCTGATGCGTGTGGAGGGAGAATGTATGGTGAGTCAATCTTTCTCTCTGTAGGCTATTATCCATATATACACTCACATTTGCTTCACATTCCCAACTGTAGAGGATCTAAATGGCGTAGAATCAGAAATTGTGCTCCCCAATCCTTGGCGGGTTAAGGCAAATGGTAAGATCATTAGGCACATGCCCATTACCCTGTATTCGGATGACACCTCGGGGAATACATCCAAACAGTGGAATAAGCACATCTCATTCTACTTCACATTGGCTGGCCTCCATCCCCGCATGACGAATCAGGAGTATCACTGTCATTTCCTGGGCACTTCCAACGTCGCTGGGGTACTGGAATTGGCGGAGCCCATAGTGGAAGAGATGAAGTAAGTCCCGAGCTCATGAAAGAATATGTTACATATGGTCCAAGATCTCATCCTACTTGGTTGATTGGTCCAGTGAATTGGCGACCAATGGCCATTTTGCATATGATAGCCTCCTCAAGCAGGATGTACTCATCATGAGTGTGATAATGGCATTTCTGGCAGACTCTCCGATGCATGCTGAGATTACAAGCACCCCACTTCCAGCAAATGCAAATAGCCCTTGTCGAGTGTGCCAACTATCAGTTGCACGCAAGGTGGACAAATCCCTGAAATCATATGTCATGGACTTAATGGGATTATCTGATGGGATCCGCCAGGTATGTAACAAGTAAGGTCCAGGTGCTATGCCCCTCACATGCTCAACCAAAAAACTTTGATTTCTCAGGCACCCCCACCCCGCAACTGGGCAGACACCAAGTCTAGGTTGCATTCGGCTTGGAAGGACTCTAAGACCAATGCCAAGACCTCTTATGATGACAAAATCAGGGAACATGGACTGAAGGACAACATCAATGTAGAGTTTGTTGAGAAGTACCACCAGCGGAATAAACCAGGGCAAAAAGAATCCATAGACCGCATTGATAAACTTACATTTGATCGCTTGTTCAGTCCATTCTTGAATTTAAAAGGTGAGGAAAACTACTTGATTAGTATATATACCCATATTGACCACTATGGACTGGATATTTTCAAAGGATTTGATGGCACCAAGGATACACCTGTGGAAATTTTACATGTCTTCCAACTTGGGATAATCAGGTATCTCCTGAGAGACTTCATGAAAGGCCTCACGGCAGGGGACAAAAAATTGTTGGAGGCCCGTTGGAGGGCCTTCAATTCAGAATCACTGAATGTTCCCCCTATTCAATCATTATTCATGGTGAACCACTACAAGAGTTTCATTGGGAAACACATGAAAATAGTCATTCAGGCGGCACCATTCGTATTTTTCCCATTCATGACCACACAGCAGAGGGAGTTGTGGAGGTCCTTGTGTCTCTTGTGTACATATGTCTACCAGACCAAAATTGATGACATGGACCTATATATAGCAGATCTCCAACATCACATTGATATGTTCATGTATCATGTCCTGAGTATGACTGCACAATGGGTGAACAAGCCCAAATTCCATATGCTAACACATCTTGCAGACGCCGTCAGGAGATTTGGCCCCCCATGTTTGTTTGCATCAGAAAAGTTTGAATCTTTCAATGGAATACTGCGAAATGCATCCATACACTCCAACCGACAAAGCCCTGGAAAGGACATAGCCATCACTTTCTCAAATTACCAGGGCATGAGACTCATATTGTCTGGGGCCTTCCTTTTTGACCATCAAAGAATGTATCATTTCCAACCATCTTTAAATGTAACCGAGGTATTCCGGACCAACAAGGGGGTACAGAACATGATGGGCATAGACCTCTCATATGAACCCAAATATCCTATCTTGATCAAAGGAGAGACATCCCAAGCAAAATTGGATCAAACCCCTACACCACATTATTTGATGAATGCATACCCAGCTGCAAGGTGGAAGCTCATCAGGAAAATCCAAACCAGTAAGTATGACAAAGTACATCAAGGCATATATGTATTAGTGAGTGAACCATCTTTATGCACAATTATTTACATCAGGCTGAAACAGTCAAACTCCGATGTAGATCCAATTGGAAGGCAGGCGCCACTCTGTTGGAGAGGTGATATCAGTATGGCAAGCAAATTCACCATCTAACACATTTTTCCTTGAAGTCAAACAATACAAGGCTTTAGGAATCAATGGGACTTACCAAATGCAGGAATATATGTGCACTAATCAAGTCATTTATACAACAGCAGAGGTGAGGCATCTAACACTGTAAAATATCAATATACAAACCTATCACTTATGTACAGCTGACCATACCATACCTTCAGAATATTATATGCTGTTTGAATTTTCAGCACAATTGTATAGAAGGCAACTGTCAAATGATCACCCAAACTGTTCAAAGGGAAGGCAAACAAGAAGGCCAAACAACACACAGAACCATTGGACACACACAAAAAAACAGTTACATCCTTAATGCCTGCTCACTCAGATCCATCCGGGAGCACCGCATTCAATCCATGTTACCCCACATGGCCTTGACCCAGGAAATGTGGGACCAAGCCATCACCAAGGGCATGATCATATGGCAGAAAAATGGGCCATCCATTGACACATCCACGACTAAGGCCACCCAGCCGCTACCACGCATACCAATAACTACAGCCCCTATCCCTCCAATATCCCAACATCTTGATCCAAACTTGATCAGTGAACCCAATATCCCACTTGGCCCCACATCAACCCACAGAGGTCATCACCCATTGGACCCGGTGGTAATCCCTGCAGTAAAACAACTATCACACAAATCAACAACAACCCATCCATCAAACCACCAAACAAGAAGATCCAGTGTCAGCAATCCTCTCCGACCTAACCCTAGTTTAGGCCACGAACAACTGGCCCCCCAGCACCAACCAAATCATCCTGGAACAACCAGATATTCCACTCAGGAAGATGCGTTTGCCCGACAATATCATCTCTTGAACTTGTACACAGATCCTCAGAGTGCACAGGCCCACTATCCATATGCCATGAACACACCCAGCACAGCCCAAGCCCAATCAAGCCACTGGTCACATATCACACCAAGTCCAAGCAATGAGGCCCAACCCAATGGAATGCCATTATTCACGCCTGGACCCAGGAGATTGAGCATCACTGAGTCAATGAAAATCAACCCACCTGCAGGCCCCTCACAAAAAAGAAACTCAGAGCATCTATCACCACATGCACCCAGAACACTGAGTACATCATCCATATTCAACAATTTGCAATCCCTTAACCACACCCAAGATTCTGCCACAAATCACCCAAAGCCATCCCCCACATTGAACACCTCTGCATTTCAGGACAGCCCCACACCCAGACCTCAATCCTATTCAGACCAAAAACCACCCAAGCCCCCACCAGAAATCAACACCCCCACACACAAGACAGCCCCCACACCCAGGGCTCAACCAACAACCCTGAAACCCTTAAAAGACAGCCAATCAGCCAAATCCAAGAACCCACCAAAAACCAATGAATCACGATTAAGAGGTCACAACAAACCACTGGTGAGCCCAATGGCCCCCAAAGATCATGCAACCAAAACACAAGCTCCTGGCCCCCCAAATAAAATCAAAGTCAGTAAACAACCTAATATTGTCAGTAAATTAATTGGGCCTCCACCCTATCCACCTGTCGAACCTCAATACATAAAACAACTCCCCAAACATATCCAACCTTATGTGGACCAGATTATCAATGTCAAGGGGGACGGGCACTGTGGGTTCAGGGCCGCTGCATACTGTCTGGGAAAAGGAGAAGGCCAATACATGGATATACGCACCCAAGTGGTGAAAGACTTGCAGGACAGGCGTCTTTACTACAACCGACAAGATCCAACCCTGGACGTAGAAGAAACAATCAATATTATTAATGTTAAAGACCCAGGGCCGTGCGCAGAATATCATTGGATGAGCATGCCTTCTATGGGCAGACCCCTTGCCAATGCTTTCCAAACCGCGGTAATTTTTTATTCAAACTTATGGAGTGAAACTTTCTTTCCCGACTTTGCTTATCCAAATGATAAAAAACCCATAATTATTGCATTAATACCTAGTGCTAAGCATTTTGTGGCAGTAACATTCAAGGATGAAGCCCTCTTCCCTGCCCCCAGACCTATAGGCACACACCGTATCCCTTTTTCTGTTGCACATAGTGCTTGGCAAAGCAAGTATTCTAAATGCATTGCCTTGTATAACTCATTGAAGCCATAGCTCTTTGTATGCAGCCAAAAAAATCCCAATAAAATATTCCAGATGATACACACCTTTCATATTCTCACCACAGAGTGAATTTGAGCCAGAAACCCAAAGATGAGCCCAGAGTGAGTGATCACTGGACATTGGAGCAATAAGCAATCAAATAATGGAAATATGAGCTAAATATTATTTCCAATAAAAGAGCAAACACAGACATGAGACAAGTGAGGCACAATACATCATGATGGTCTTGTAAACACCATAATTTTGCACATTTGAACATACAACAAAACCAAAATCATGAGGGAAACCAAATTAGTGACACATGATAGCAATAATGAATCAAAAAAAAGGAAGGGAATGCTAAGTGTTAATCCAATTAACCCCAAGGTTAAATGCACTAATGCATCAGAAAATACAAAAGAGTCACTGATAAGTCAATCATCAAATCATGATCACAGCTGGGTCAATTATGGTGCCCAGATCAAGAAGCTCACTTTTCACCTTAACTCTGATGCAGAGAACCATATTTTACTGTTCAGTCACATAGTTTATCAAATGATAATAAATTCATAACAATCATGGTATTGCTCAGTCACATAGATTATCAAATGATAAAAACATCTAAACAAGCATGTGAGGAAGACAGGGATAAACAGGGAAGAAGACCAGGATAAATAGGGAAATTCCCCTGTGCAGACAGAGAGAGAAAAAGCCTAATACTGGGGTTGACAATACTGGACTGCCTTCTTGACCCCATACAAGATTGATTGTACAGGGCCCCACTTCAAACCAAGATTCAACAAGCCTTGTTCGGTGGCACCTTCAAAAGCGGTCCAGTGGAAGATGTCATGCTTTGCAATGACATCTCTGATTGGCTGGTAGTCCAGAGGGATCTCACAGAGAGTGAGAAACGCATCGATATTGAGCGAAGGGGTGTCACGTTGTTGGATGGCAATTTGAGCAAACTCCAGGGAAGGTCGCTTCGGAGATGGCAGGTCATCGGGCTCCAAGAGATGTTTCGTACTACCAGCGACTGTTCGCTCGTCTGGACTGCGTTCAGACTGATTGCCCCCGACAACCACGCGGCCACCCCTAGTACGACCGGGCTGAGTAGCCATACCAGAAAGAATCAGAGGAGTTAGACGACATCAGAGTAGACAAGACAACAAACATCACTTACATGGACAATCAAAGTAAGAACCGCCCAAGGATCGGATTTGTTAGTATCCTCCGGCATTTCGAGATAGATCGCAACCTTGGCCGCGCAAGACGAGTTCTCCGCCGCTCGAATAAACCGTTGGAAATCTTGGAAATCAGCCATTGGAACGGGGTGCGCCGTCGACCAATTGGAGCCGTTTGGTTCTTCTACCATGTAGGCCCAGTGTAGCACCGCAGCCCGCTCGGCTTGAGTTGCTATCATGTCAATCGGATATTTGGATTTGCTTTCGTTGCGCAGGTGTTCGAATACGAACGTCTTGAACAAGGAAAGAGTCATATCTTTAAAGTGTAGGTCCATAGGGGGCATAGGGCCCCTGTTTGTGATGCGCTTGTACAGCGTTTCCGACTCGCCAACGATCTGAACATCAGAGTAAAAGCGGTATCGGATCCATATGTCGATCGACGGGTTGGGGCCTCGGGAAGTATCATCCGGGCTGGGTGTGCGATGATTAGAACGGGGGGGCGGAGTGATGGGGGCCGGTTCCTCATGGCCAACGGAAACTGATAGATTAACGAGGGAGTCAGGCGTGTCTTGCGGCGCCATCTCGATTTCGTTGGAAGACATTCAGGAAGAAAATGCTGGCGTCAAAGCAGGAAGAGCAATGAGATCCGGAGGTGATGGGGACGATGACCGAACAAACTTGATAGGAATGAGAACTGACCTGAACCTGGTGGACTGAAAGCTTTATAAGAGCGTCCAATCTGTTGGAGCCGAGATTTGTCGTGGGTGCCACCCTTGTGAAAAGGTTCGTCGGCCGCATGAGAATTCCTCGCCGTCTCACCATGGTGACGACGAGGATTCCCAGTGAAGAGCTCTTCACCGGGAATCCCCGTCGAATGTCGACGAGGATTCCCAGTGATGAGGCCTCCACCGGGAATCCCGTCGTGACCACCTCATTCATACGTGGAGGTGAAATCCACGGGGGATTGGCTGAATTCCACGTCGGTTTCACGGGGTCGGCGTCTCCCGTGGGATCCACAATCCCGCTCGGCAAGAAGTGCCCCTGGGGTGTACAATTGTACTTGTTCAGCACGCGCAGTAGTGACACAATTATCCAGTCTTAGTGAATTCTTGGTCGACTTGGAAAGGTAAGTGACCTGAAGTTTGATTTTGATGAGGCCGATGCCCTTATTTACAGGCTTTGACAGGCTCAATTGCAAGGGCAACAAGATAAATAGATACATACCAGATGTGTTGAGGAATGCAGACTGGAATTGCCAACGAAACACAGTTAAAAATCATGTCCCGCATCCGGCTGTCACACTTCTCAGACTCCAGCCTTGTTAGGCCATCGGGAACGATTTGTTACCTGGCAGGTGGGCATGTTGTTTGCAAGGATTACCGAAGTCCTGGGAAGATTTCTCCTCAGTCAGGACCTGCAAAATTACTCCCCCGAGAGCAAAGGCAGGGTATAGCCTATAGGGACTCGCTCCGGGTTGGATTACAATTTGGAGAGCAACTTAGTTCTACTTGCAGAGGAGGGTTCTTCACGGCAAGCGAGTGGTGTACATACCTGGAAGGAATCTTGGAAGTCCGAGTGCTGCGAATGCAAATCGGACTTTTCATTACTCCTCATTTGGTCATGACGATTTGCCTTGTGATTATACACTTGGCTGTGACTTATTGCTCCTAGATTCGCCCACCGCATAGTTTGTGCCTTTGCCAATAGTTGTCAACTTGTGGCGTTGGGATAGGAGATCGACCTATGCAATGTTGTGCGTTTCCGGCAGCACACCTATCATCCACCTCATGGGAATCTCCATCATGAGCAACTTGCAACATCCAAGTGAGCACAGGGAAATCACTCGCCCACTGGGGGTAGATGTGTGTGCAAGAATGTCGGGTTTCCCAAGTAGATCGTTTCCCCCTTCGCGATGAGTCAGCATATTCAGGGCTCATCTCACCTGAAACTGATGGCGAGCGCTTGTTTTCTCCAATTCACCGAAGGTGGTGGGCCCATATCTCATCGTGAGATGAGATCTCCTGCGCCATTGCTGCTGCATGTAATACGTACTCTTTAAAAGCACGTATAGTCCTTAAGTTAGAATGGTGGGTTTGATTATGGTCATGCAAGCAGCGATATATCCCAATCTTCCGAATATTCCACATATCACTTGTTCCCACATTCTGATCCACTTATCCCGAGATAAGGCATTTTTCTTAGACACCAGGCAGACTTGACTCATCGAGTTCGCTAATCAGCACTCTAGAACGATTTGTTCTAATTTTTCTCACCTTCTTGTGCTCGAGTGAATTGTCAAGAATAATTCATTTTCTTACTCTTCTTCTAGTTTTATCTTCGGGGCGATCATGACCCGCTTCAATGTGATAGGATCTCTTAGAACTAGTGTTATTTGTGTTTTATTTTTCAGTTCGGTGGTGTACACCTTAAGCAGCGGTGTCCAAAAACCGGGACTTGTGCAGTCTAGTCTGGCCAAGGAACGCCAGAATGAAGTAAAAAAGGTCTTTGCTTCTGCGTACGCCGACTACATGAAGTTTGGTTTTCCGTTTGACGAAGGTGTGCTCAAGCCTACTCTGCAAACTCTCGCCCATTTGGAAATCACTTATCATACGCGAGTCTTTTGTGTAGTGCGACCGGTGGCTAAGCGCGGCCAAAACACCCGGAATGGATGGTAAACCGAGTGCCACTTCTTGACCTTGGCCTAGAAAAATTTCTTTTATCCGGTAGCTAACGGTATGATTTTCCGCCAATTGACAACGTCCCACCAACAAGGTCGGCTACCCTTGTCGACTCGCTTGATACCTTATTTATCATGGGCTTGAAGGTGAGTTGTGTTGCCCCTTTGTTCCCAGGAATTAGCAGAGAACAATTGACTGGGAACCTGTCGCCGGGCTCAGGATGAATTCGATCAAGGCGTTTCGCACACTTTAAAAATAGATTTTTCCAAGAGCCAGACAAATGACGTGTGTCTATCTCAACTTCTCAAAATCATTTTCTTTGTTCAAGAGTGGTAAAACTGAAAATCGTGTGTATGGAGGACAGAGTGTCTCTCTATTTGAAACAACGATTCGATACTTGGGAGGAATGCTGGTAAGGGTCCTACCAATATAGCCCATCCACAAGCAGCCGGAGTTAACTGGAATGATTCCCGTCCATAACAGTCAGCCTACGAGCTCTCAGGATCAAAAAATACTGCACTCCTCAAACAGGCGCGAACCCTAGGAGACAAGTTACTGACAGCGTGGCCAGATCCCCGGCAAAACCTACCCTTTCCTCAACTGGATTTTGGGCGCAATCGGCCAGTCTTCAAGAAGAAGATTTCATCTGCGGAGATCTTGATTGCCGAGGTGAGCGTAGCTTGAAATCCCAGTGGTATGAGGCGTTCAGATTTCTGATAAAAGGTTACCTTTTTTTTCTAGGCTGGGACTTTGATTCTTGAGTTGGGCCGCTTGAGCCATCACACCCAAGACCCGAAGTATCTGCGCCAAGCAGTCAAAGCGATGCAGGCGATTATGAGTAAGGCTTATTCAAGCTGGCTGCAATCCAAGTCGTCATTGACAAGTCAAACTTTTAGATTCCCGATCCACTTTTCCTGGTCTGGCGGGGTTTTCCCTTGCCGTTCAAAGTCAAGCAGTCAAGAATGACTTTGCTACATGGGGTGGTGAGTGATAGAGATCAAGCAAATGATTATGGATCTACATTGATTTGAAGACAGCTGACCTTCTTAACCCTTTTTGCCGTGAACAGGAGGAGCGGAGTGAGTTTTTACAACATGAGAATACATCTCATAGTGGCAACAAGGAGGAACTCAGGTCTTGCGATTGTTTTTGTCTTTCAGCTCCTATTACGAATACCTCTTGAAGTATGGGATACTAATAGATAATCAAGACGAATCATACCTGAATGGTAAGAAATCTCGCCGACATACAACATGCATCAATGTGAAAGCTAAACGATTTCTTGTGGAGTAGCATGGAAGCTAGCCGTCAAATCATCAAAACAGCACCTAATCCAGGTTTCACCGGTGCGCAATCTCACATACCTGGCCAGTTTCTCCTCTGAAAAAGGCGGAATTCGTTACGAGTTCTCTCATCTCGGTTGTTTCGCTGGTAAGTCAAGATGGTCGATATTTTCAAGAAGTTTTTTTTTTGAAGCTTAACGAATCATTTGGTAGGTGGCAATTGGTTACTGGGTGGGAAAGTGCTCGATGATCCATCGACATTCCAATACGGTCTACGATTGGTCGAAACCTGCATGGAAACTGTTGAGTTCTTTCCAGCAAACCGAGTGATAGGCTATCGAGTGAAGATTAGACAAAACCAATATTTTGCGAATCAATGAAGTACAAACGAACTGCCACGGGGCTGGGTCCCGAGACTTTCAAATTTCTGGGCCCCCACGGCGAAATGCCTCTTACAAAAAAACCAAGATCAGCAGTTGCGTTCCAATTCTTAGCATATGTGCCTGTATATTTCAGACCAGAAAATTGATGGGAAATTGATTGTGCTTGCATCAAACAGGAGCTAGAATTTTTCGACAAGAATGGCTTTTACATAGGTATTGAATCCTATGACCTCAGGTGAGTATGTCTGTTTGCAAAGCAGAAGGGAGTATTAATGAGCAGCTGTTGACTTTCTCCGAGACTTTCCAATTTCCATAGGCCAGAGGTTGTTGAATCTGCATTTTATGCTTGGCGCTTAACAGGCGACACGCGTTACCAAGACTTTGTTTGGGAGGCGTTCAAGTCATTGCAAAAGCATTGCAAGGCCCCAGCTAGTTTCGCGGCCATATCCGATGTTAACTCTCTTCCAGTAAAACTCATAGACGATTCTGAAAGCTTCCTGTAAGTCCACTTTCCAGCTCAACAAGGTATCATAACCAATAGTCGCTGAACTTGGGTTTTACTTTGTTTCAGTTACGCAGAATTGTTTAAAGTTGAGCGATTCCATTGACTGTTGTGAAGAAGCTCCACTGACCAATCAATGTTTGTGATGGTAGTATATATACCTGACCTTCTCCGATCCCAACCTTCTATCGTTGGATGAATACGTATTCAGTTGAGCTTCTTTGACTAGGACCAATTTATTCTAGTCTTGTTTTTGAATTCCTTTCACGACACTTACTTAAACCCCGATATCATGACTGCTTGCTTTGATTTAGCCACCGAAGCTCATCCTTTGCGCATCACGAAGGAGGCCATCGTTTAGCTTCATTTTAGTTTGATTCAAGATTGCCGGTTTGGATAACACTCTGCTGTGAGTTCCGATAAAATTGAGGAATTTCTTGCAAGACAAAATAAATTTGACTTGATTCATACCTCTCAATGCAGCAGCCAACAAAGTAAAAGAAACGAAGGACTACTATCGCATAGATAACTCATGATGGGTATGTAGGCAACAGCTTGAAATGATGCAAGAGCCTTTTTGCAATCAAAATCAAAATATTTATTGAAGAAAAGAAACTTCCTCTCGCAAGACTTCTTCTTCCACCTATTTATTAATTAGACAGCCTCGACAACCTTCTCTTCAACGCACAATTGTTTTTTCATCTCTTCTTTCAATTCAGTCTTTCATTGCTACTCAGACAAATTGGCTGCATTTAGTCAACCTTTCACTTGATGAATCTAATTTTTATTTGGCGCACAGTGTGCTTGTACACTCTTCCCACTCGGACGTATCTTTTTTTGATTTTCATAGGATTATGGGTCAGAATTTACTCTAACTTAATTAACTCCCTCCGGCAGTGGATGCGATGGCTTGTCCGGAGGGTCCCTGCGGGACGGTGTCCCCCCTCCGAATAAAGAGGGACTTGCTATGTATTAGTCCCAATGGCAACAGCTTCCCACAGCCAGTAGGACAATCACTCTTACATTCAGACAAAGACTGATCAACCAATTGGAGTCATGGGTACACACAAGACACCTTGTTAACGATTTGTTTCTCTTTTTGTTAGTTGTCAACAACTCAGGATGGGTTTCCTACAAAACAAACAAAATAAGGGAATGGATTGTTATCTCCAGAAGGAGATGATCAAGGAGAGAGCTGCAAAAGGTAGCACCTATGATTAATTTCTTGCTTGAGCCCTAATGAACAGATAGGGGATTGATAATTTTTCTTCTTGGGGGGAATGAGATAACTTTGTTTGGTTAAACTTTCCTCTCTCTTTTGAGCTTGTTTTCATGTTTCATCAACGTACAAACTCAACAAAAGTTCACAACAAGTAAAGACACAAAATTTTGGTTTGAAAAGACCTTAGAACGAGAGCAAGATATCAAGAGTATCGTGCCTTTCTACCACTCCAGCCTGAGTCACTCTGGCGGGGTGCGTATCGGGCGCGATGGCTTCCATGAGATGGACTGGAATGGCCTAAAGGTACGCGGAAGCCCGAGATCCTTTCGGAGATGTGTCGGACGACGGGCGGGTCTTGGTTGGGCCTAGCCCCACCATGATGGACCTCATGATGATGTGTGGCTTGCTGGATGGACACGCCGATAGAGTCAATGGCCCGACCCAACGTGAAAGACAAATCATCTAATTTTCTCACTCACCGATCTCTGCGGACCAGGACCTGGAGAGGGTTGTTGGGAGGGGACCCGCGATTGGACTGGTGGCACCGGACTGAAAGCAAGATCTTGGATTCGATCTCGAAGCGAGCCAGTACCAGCAGGAATCGGGTCACTTGGTCCCTTTTTTTCAACCTTTTGACGGATTGAATGGGTCAGCTTTCAAGCTCGGCAATATAACAGCCTCATAACAACAAAGCTTACCTGTGACCTGTGCTGTTCCGGGACCCCAGTATGCTCAGACTTGCGTCCTGCCCTCCCTCGAAGACTGATTCCCCTGTCTTGGTTGATATGGACAGAGTGGTCAGTCTCAGGCTTTTGGTCAACCTTGGCCGGTCGTTCGGCAACGGGACTTTGGACTGCAATTTTTTCCGAAGAATTGTGAGAGCTGGATGGAAGATTTTGTTTGGATGAGCTTTTCTCTTCCGTTGAGGGAGGCAAAGCTTTTGAGTTGTCAGCAAAATCATTTGACACATCACAGGCTTCTGTTAGATCGACCGGGTTTCTCCTGGATCTTTTGGCCGGGGGTGAGAATTTATCAGACTGTCCTGAGCAGTCGGCCACAGGTCCAAGCCGTTTAGCCAGAGACACAGGTTGCCCTGAGGTCTGAGAATCGACAGGCGTGAGTGGAGGTGGGGGTATTTCAATAATGTCCGAAGAAGCATTGGCATCCTTTTCACTCAAATCATCAGGTTCAATGCTTCGTCCACGTCTTCCGTTTCTGCTTCTGTCGTTATGCTTTGGTATTCCCAATGTTGCCATCGCTGGCACATTGGCAGTATCCATCACAGTCTTACTTGGGTCACTGATGTGAATTTTACTTGCATCGTCGACCAAAAGCTTTCTTGCGTTTCTCGGAGGGGTTTGAATTGGGTAATCCGGAGGCGTGTGAACTGCATCATCCGTCAGGAGTTGGTGAGCTGCGTCATCCGTGAGGGGTTGCTTCGAATCGTCTATGGGAAGCTCCCTAGTGCTGTTTGCTTGAGGCTTGCGCTGAATATCCGAGACGAGTTTAATTTTATTGAGATCTTGAGATCGATCAGATGGTTGCTTCAGAGGAGGCTGAGGTGTTTCTTTAACTGGATAAGTCGCAGGAGGCGGCACTTGGGAAATTCGGACAGCCGAGGGCCCAGGAGGAGGGTCGTTTTTGTTAGAGATCTCATCCAAATCAATGATCGGATAATAATTATTGGGTTCGGGGCGGCGAGGAGAAAGCCTTGGAGGATGTACAGGGCGAGGAGGGGGCCGATACAAGTCAGGTTGACTCATGCCACTTCGAATCCTGGGCGGTTCTGGTAAAAGCGGCAAGTGTTGGGCCACTTGAGATCTTCGAATATCCAAAAGACTAGGCTCTGAACGATGCGGGTCTGCAAGGTTCGCAAATCGAATTACATGTGAATATCGATTGGCCCGCATAGATAAACGTATCACAATCGCTTACCTTGGTCACGTGGATAATAAGCGTCGCCACGCCTAGGGTCCAGAGGACGGGGTCCTTTTGTTTCCGAAGGGAAGGAAGGCGAAGGCCTGTATGCATCGTATCGAGGAGCTGGATTACGGCGGAATGATTCACTAGGCTCAGGTACCCGGATTGAGCGCTCTTCTAGCAATAATCGGTGTGAAGTGGGGGGTGAGCGAGTTCGTTCGGGTGGATACACTGAAGTACGTATGGGTTCAGTAAGAACACTTGCCAACTCTTCGAAGAATTATCCGGTGTAGAAGATTGAGATGTTTGAGGGGGATAGCTCACAATCAGGTTGCAACGGGGCGCGTGGGACATGCATCAGAGGTGGCATACGGCGAGGTGGTGGCGATGGTGATCTGGGCCGCAACGCCAGGGAATGACGGGGTAAAGGATGGATTGGAGAGATTGGGGCAGCTTCGTGGCGTGTCCAACTAGAGGCCCTACGATCCTGAGAGGATGTATCACGGTCTGAGAGAACGACGAGTTATCAGAACGGGACGAGCCTTCATCTACTATAGCCAGATGAAATGCTGCAGTCTCACCATATGGTTGTTCAGGCCCTCGTCGATAGGAAACATCCCGGTAGTCGGGTGGCTCAGTCATCTTGGGTGGAATTGCCAATGGATGGCCGAATCTTGATACTTCAGGATCAATGTACATTTCATGAGTCTGCAAGGGCGCGATCGGATCGGGAAAACAGCGACCTGGGGCTGTGGGTATTCCGTTTGCACCAGACAGTTGGATGTCTTTGCGAGTTCAAAAAAGTGATTAGCCCATGTTGAGAGATAGCGCAAAGCACCGGCGGACTGGAGAGCTGCAAAGACATCTTGGTTTGTCCGTTGATCAAAGCAAACGTACGTTCTCTGTGGTCACGGCGTCCACTACGACGAGAAGCAACGCGGCGAGGAACTGGGGAGATTGATCGAGGCCTGGGAATCTCAGCCGAGCGATGTGAGCCAGAGTCATGAGGATATCGTGTTGTCACCGCGTGACGAGAACTATTCCTGTTGTTGCTGTCCGAATGAGGAGGGAGGTCGCGATCTACACAGGTTAGAAGGAAGGAGGGAGGGTCGGCGGAAAGCAATGAGTATGCACGTTTCGTTATTAGACATCACTGTTGATTCAAATCGCTTTTTCATGACGGTTGACAATGGGTGAATCCACATTCTTGAGGGGTCAAGAGTGGACACGACAATGAGACAGCTCAAGGCGGTAATGTATGGGAGCTATTCATGTATTCTGGACGCTAAAGCGACCGTTGAGAGGATTGTAATGTGCTTTTTTTATGATATCCGCCGAGGGCGACGTGAATCATGTGGACGATCCATGCTACTGATGTCCATTCACAAGGCTATGAACGAAGCTCCAATCCGAGATTGGTGAAAAGTGAGGGGCACAAACATAATTGAAGCTTACGGAAAGAGCCGATGATAGTGGCTTTAGAGCCTTCGGGAGCACTGATCCGTCCTCGATGCGGCTTCGGAGAGGCAATCTCAGCTCGGCGGTCAGGATGCATTGCAGAGGCAATCTCCTGTCGGCGGTCAGGATGGACTGTAGAGGCAATATCTTGTCGGCGGTCAGGATGGATTGCAGAAGCAATCTCTTGACGGCGGTCAGGATGAATTGCCGAGGCGATCTCTTGTCGGCGGTCAGGATGGATCCGGTGATCGACGCAGGATTCACTAGGGTCAGGTTGCAGCTTTTCTTGGTGTATGGATCGGCCGTCAATGTCGCTATCTGAGGCGTGAGCGGTTCCAGAGCCGATGAGATTTGATTGGCGATGATGATCATCCATCGTCGACTTGTCAGTATCGTAATATCGTGATGGTTCTTGAGGTGTTGCAAGCTGGTGGCGGTCATGTGAGACTGTGGTGCTAGAGGGCCTCAAATTCAATGCTTGATTATCCAAAGACTGTGAAGCTTGGATGTTGGGCCCTCTTTCCTGTTGACATCTGGTGAGCAGAGGAGAATCTACGGATGAGTCCATGGAATCGATTTTTGAGAGATTACTTCGGCTTGGATGAGTACGGCTTTCTGTTGCTTCTTGGACAGGTTGGTTAACTTCAGCCTTGGAAGCCACCTGTGATATCCAGAGAGTAAGTATGATGACAAATGGTATTGATCCCAGGCTTGAAAGCACACCTTGGGAGCTGGTTTGGTTGGTTTGCCGCTGGCTGGCTCGGTGGGTCGATTCCATTGGCTTGTCCGAGTGAGCGCATTGACGTAGTAAGTCTTCTTGCTGCCCTTAGAAATCCTAGAAATCCAACCCTCAGGGAGCTCAGTGGAAGTAATAGATGGTTCAACTGGTTTTTCAACATCTTTAGCTTCCTCAAACTTCTCACGCTCAGCGTCTGGCTTTGATGAACTCAAAGGATTTGGTGGTTTTTGATCAGCATCGCGATGGTCGGTCGTTATTCGTGTTGATAGACTTGCCACAGGACGCCTTGAATCGGTTTTGGAAGTCGTGGGATCGCTAGTACGCGAAGAAGCGGATACAGCATGGAGACGCTCGGGTGGCATGTATGAAGCCCTTTCGCCGGGTCTCGGGCGATCGCTTGGCGGCCTTTCACGAGGCGGTGCGGTAACAGAGGACTGTTCGGCGTGTCGGGATGCTTCCTGGACGAGTAAGCGGCGGTCTGGATGAGGGGCTGAGCGATCAGCGGGGTGCAAGGCTGACTGGTGATTACGATCGCGGAGAGGTGCTTGAGGAGGATTGGCTGCCCGATGAACAGACCCATGGCGTCGCCTATCAGAGCCGTTGGGTTGAGTGTGAGAGGTAGTCCTGAGATGGCGATTAGAAGTTGGGGAAGACGGTCGGGGCTGACGGACGCTGCGTCTGTAGGAACCTCAAGGAGGATGTTTAGCAGAGCAGGTCTAATGGGTTGATTGATTTGATTGATTGAAAATTGAAAGAGAACAGAAGACTGACGTAGTAGACTCTACGGTGGTGGAGCTCGACCGGTTTGACACTGGCCGGCCATCATGATCGGAAGCCCCCAGAGATATGACGTCCAAGCCATCATCTGGATCAGAAGCTTGTCAGTAAGCAAGTAGCCTGGAAATGTGATTCCTGAGAACTGCTTACCGTCTTCGCCGAAATCAAGGACATCTTCTGGGTCCATAATGCCGCGGGGATGGGAGTCAGTGGGAACTGTTCCTTGGAGGGAGTTCAGCCAGACGGTCAGCGGGGGTGATCAAAATACGCAGAGATGAGCGATGGTGGTAGAGTGATAGCAGGTTTTTTGTATGTTGTGGTTGGATGGGATGTGGCTGGTGGATGAAGAATGGGAACAACGAAGAAAGGGAAGAGGTTTCGAAATATTGGAGTATATGTACAGAATCCGTGACCACGCGTCAGCCGGACGAAACTCCGCACTCGCCGATCGATCAGACACACCCCCCCGGGTCTCTGTCGGGCCAGGCGGACGTCTGCTAACCCAAAAATTGGGTTCAACAAATCTCCCATTTCTCAAGATAGTATGTTCATTAAAAGTACATCACATGCCACATTGAACTCCTTCCAACTGGATTTGGATTGAATACTACTTTTCCACCACACAGCTTGTACAGGCACCAGAGTCACTTTCCTTGGATTTGGCCATCTATGATAAAACAACACAACAACAGGACTCCAATCTTTAATGATACTAATTTTTTGTTTCATCTTTTCTGAACAAAAAAATCTGATCAGATTCAAGTAGTTAAAGCTATGTCAGGCTCTTATCATCATTAAACATGATTTGCACATAATGGGAGTAAAGTTTTGAATCTGCAGTGCTACTGAAGCCTTCAATTGAAGAACTGATCTTCTTTATTTTGTTCTGGGTTGGGTGATGATCCACTTTATTTCAGTTTCATTCAAAGAGATTCACATGAGAATTGATACCAGAGTGTAGCATTCCATATTTGAGCTCTGATTCCAAACAGAACTAAGCCAAGTATGACATACTTATAAAAATTGGGCCTGATAGATTTATGAGGCTACCTGGATCCAGGTGTATGACCTAAATTAACAAAGTCCTCCCTGGGCAGGAGGTTGTTTTTGGGTGGTGCTTAATTTTGGCTGGTGGCAAAGCCGGGAGGGACTTACAACTAGAGAGGGGATGCTTGCCTGGGACCATCCATCAAAAAACAATGTTATATCACTTTTTAAATTTTACAGTCTGTTACTGTATGTAGTTTACAAGCTGTCCATCTCAGCTAACACCAGTTGACTCTTGTGTATTGTTTCAATTTTTAGAACTCATCAGCTTTTCAAAATACTAACATGAACATTTTAAGTTGATTTTTGAATGGAGTGAAGACATCATCCATCCTCCTTCACTTAAGCCTCCGGGCTTGAGCATGATAATATTATAAGTTATATTTCTTGTTTGCTTGATTATTTGACATTATATCTTGCAAAACTGAGCTGATAGAAGCAAAGGCAAGGCTCTAAAGAAGATCTTTTTCAACCAAAACACACATGTAGCTCAAAAAATGAGAGAGCTACAGGTTGTGTAACTGGATGATTTTTCCAGATCCTCTCAGGCAAGCACCCCCGCTTTGGTTGCAAGTCCCTCCCTGTGGGAGGGGTGGCTTTGCCACCAGCTAGTGCTTCACACCAGTGAACCTCCCACTAGGGGGGACTTACTTAAGTTAGGTGTATGACTAGTTAAAGATACAAGAAGGAAACAGAATGAGCTTTAAATCTTACATGAAGGTGGGGGATATGCATTAAGGGGGTTTCACTTTCCACCAAAACTGTTTCTGATTTGAAACAAGGTTTGCTTGCTGATGCACCATACTGGTTAATTTTTAATGTGAGATCTTGCTTCTGAATGAGAACTTCTCACCCAAACTTTTTGCTTTCCAAAGACATCAGCAAAGTCCAATTTCAACAAGGTTTGCAACCTTGCCTCATAATTTCAACATCAGCAGTAATAGTGGGGTTCACAACAGCTTCTCGCAGAAAAGATCTCTTGGTTCTTGCAAGAAGCCGCAAGACTACTGTGGACCTAAGGTTAACAGCATTTTGACCCTGTAGCACAGTGTAGTGTAGCAAAAAACCACTAACCTTTTGCTAACACCACACAATATCCATGCACAAATAAGGCTATGCTAACACTTTTTGGGCAAAAAGCCTAGCAGCCCATGGTTTATTCCAATCATTTTCAGTAAAAATATCTACCCAGTTCACCTCTGGGCTATCCCCACCCACAGGCAAAATGGGTCATTACTCACATTCAATCTGCTCTATCCTGTAACTATTTACTATTGTGAGCATCTTTTATTTTACAAAGGCATCAAGCATCATAGTTTCAAATATTCATACTTTACACCCTTTTTGGCAGCAATATAATGTGGGTGCTATATGGGCATTTTTGACTGACATCCTTTGTGACATCTGATCAAGCCTGAAAAAGCTTCATCAGATGTCACAGGAACACACATTATATTGCTCAATCATATCTCTGCCAAACAAGGCCTTGAGATCTGTTGATATTTCACCAGTTATTGCTCTCCCTTTTCTTTTTGTTTCACTCACATGTCATATGCCTGTTTTTTTTACTGGTGATTCTTTTTATTTGTTATGCTCAAAATCTGCTTCCACAACTTGAACATTATTGTATTCAGTCTACTTAAATCAGCCAGATACAAGTGAATAATAAAACAACAGTTCTGAGTGCACTTTCCCTTTGAGTGACACTTCAGCCTCCTCAAGGTCTTCTTGTGAGGATACTTAAGCCTCCTCAACTAAGATAATAGGTTACTTACTTCAGAACTTGTCTGACTTTGGCATTGCTGACTCCTACCCAAATCTTCATTATTTCATCAACATCTTCTGATTGGATATAAATATCTATTGCAGATAAAAATACCAGGTAGGAAACAGGCAATATAGTGTCAGCAAATTTTAAAAACAGTCTGAACAGGAAATTTTGAAAATAAGCTGATTACATATGGTATTTTCTAGAAAACTTGGACCAATTAAATTTCTTTGTGTTTCAATAAATCCTATATCTAATTCTGCACTCCTAAACTGAGATTTTTTGGGTTTGGTCTTTGGTACATGTTGTTGAGTTTTCCTCTTCTCTGGTCTACTCTTCCCCAAAATCACTCCTTTTTCTTTTCAAGTCATCATGAAATCAGACTAGATTGTACTCATCAAGTAGCTTGTTTTTTGTTGTTTCTAAGCCCCTTTTGAGTCAAATATGAACTCTAAGTGATGCTCTTTCCAACAACTCATGTCTCTACAATGTTTTTCTTCTCTTTCCTGATCTTTCTGTTTGATCTAATAAAGTCTGATTACTTAGAATTAACGACTCTAAATATCTGTGGTTTATAGCATGTTTTCCTTGATTAACTCATCCAGCTTGACTAAAAGAGACTGAGAAGTTTTGTACGGTTTGTTTCTTCCAAACACTCATGTTTCTTCCTCTCAGTCTTTTATTCAATATTCCTTTTTTATTCATTTTCTCTCAAACCACTTTTTGAACACTTGTAATTAGTCTACTTAAGCTAGCCTACTTACAGTGAATAAAAAACCATTGGCTCTTACACTCTTTTTCCGTGAGCCCTTCCCAAAAGTAAGATCTTATATTTTTGGCCCTTCACCTCTTGTGCGCTTTGGTTTAAAATTTCAACACATGTCCAGTATGACCCAAATCCAAGTGCAAGCTGAAAACCTACACTTCATGTTAGCTTTTTTTGTGAATGAAGCAATTAGCAATCTGGGTTCAGTCTTGGAACCAGGAGCAAAAATTTCACCCCCAAGCCACCCTCAACACACCTTCCAACTTGCCCAACTTGGTCACTTAGGGGTAGGAAGTTTGCAGCCAAGCCTTGGGTAGCTGGGTGAGGTAGGAGCAGGGAAGGGAGAAGCAAAGGGTGGGATACTGTAACAGGAAATTATTATAGACATATCAAAACAAAGAATTGAGAATGGTCCAAGTTTCATGGAAAAGACAATATGTATCTCTTTTTAACTTATCACCACTTGGCTAAATTGAGCAAGTAAGATAAATGAAGAATTCAGAATGGAAATGTTGAAGCTGCAGCTGGGGAAGATATGAGCAGTGTGATTAAATTATACTCTATCTTTTTTTCCAAACAAAATAGGGTGTGTGTGTGTGGTCACAACAGCAATTCCAGAGTAAACAACATGACACCCACAAGAATTTTCCTCACTACTGTGCGCCTGATTGCAAGTGACACAAGTGACAAGAGGCTGCTTTGGGTAGGCAAGACATGTTGCTTGTAAGAAAAACAATTAATAGGCCAGGGAGCAGGGAATGATGATGTGAACCAAGGATGTAACAGATCCGATCCCGGATCGGTATGTATCGGGGATGGGAGAGCTTACAGTGTGGAGGATACCCACCGGTACAGTTGACTGCCCGATCCAGATGGCTGCGGGATCAAGATTGAGACGTGATGGACCTGTACACCTAACGGGCTTGCACAATTGAGGTGCAGTGCACACCTAGATATGAATGCACTCCTGTAGTGCAAAAACGGTGTTTCTGTGGATACAATCCCGCTCCCAATCCCGATCCCGCAATCCCGCCATCCTCCCCCCCTCGGAACGATTGTATTCCCAATCCCAATCCCCAATCCCTATCCCCTATCCCTAACCCCTATCCCTAACCCTATCCCTAATCCCTATCCCTAACCCTATCCCTAATCCCTATCCCTATCCCTAATCCCTAACCCTAACCCTATCCCTAATCCCTAACCCTAAGGACTAAGGCCTATTGGGGTGATTGAGGAGGGAGTTTTTTTTTTTGAAGTCAAACTTTGATCGGGTTGACTGGAGGGGGTGCGGGAGGATTGCGGGATTGCGGGATCGGGATTGGGAGCGGGATTTACCGCTTTTGCACTGTAGGAGTGCATTCGCATGTATTTCTTACCGCACTTCTACAGTGTATGGCATGTAGGTCCACAGGTCATGTGATCCCGATCCCGATCCAATACCATGGGATTGGATCACCCTTAGCAATCTGATCCCTTATTTTTCGATACCTGGTATTGAAAAATCGATCCGATCCGATAAATCGGCCAATACTGTATTGGATCGGATCTGTTTCACCGTTGTGTGAACCCCCCAGCTTATGGTGCTAACTGATGATACCAAATGAAATATCCATGGATTCATTCCTGCACAACTACCAACCTCTCATAGGTTTGCTGGGGATGGTAGTTTACATTGAGGCTTGTGTTTGTTGAGTGGAAAAAAACCCGGTGTGACAATAGGTTGTTTCCCAGATCAACTTTTCAATTGCAGTCTTTGTAGGCTGTATGATTTTTTTTTTTTTTTTTTGAATTTGCAGAATTGGAGAAGTGATCTCTGTCTGAACAAAGCCATAAGAAACACCAAGATTAACTCATAAAGAAACCCTCTGGATTATAATTTTGATTTTTTACTGACTCTAATTTCTGACCTGAAGGCCGAGTCAATGTTCTCAATGAAAGGTTGCATGAGTTTTTTTTTCATACCTTTAGAGAGCTGGTTGTGCGACTTCCTCTTTGTCAACCAGTGTAAATCCACTCCCGATGTACCAAGATACATATGATTTTTATTTCTTGAAGACCCCAAGTTTGTCTGTTCTTTAAATTGATTCATCCATCGAGAGCCAACCAGACCCTGGATCCCCTCACTTGGATGTTACACTTGTCAATTGACTGTTCCCTCCCGGTTGGCAACTTGGTACAGCGCTGCCCTCTACTAAAGCCCCACTCTCCCAAATCTTTACGTGCCCTATGTGTTATGATGTTAGGCAAGACGAACTGCAGGAAGACAAATATGTATGTCATACGGAGATGTAGATCCCGGCCGGGATCACACCTCCTGATCCCCTGTCCCTTCCATTACCTACTCCAAAACAGTGATCGTAATCAGGACTATCATTTCTGCAAGCGCAGTCACCCTAACACCTCACTCCAAATGATATTCCCAATCTTTTACCCAGATGTAATACCAGAGTACAATCCGATAAAGGGGGATACAATATTACCCAATTAAAGCGTCCGATCTGACTGTTGAGTGGAAACTGTATGTACCATCACCGCACTGACACCTTTTAACGACGCCTCACTTAGATCCGAACTGTGAGCAAGATCATTCAAAAAAGCCGTGTGATGGTGGATTTGATTGGAAGTTTCATCATCATAGATCATCGAAATGACCGATGACAGTGAGCAAATTACATTAGATCATTACAGTGAGCTAGATTGTCAGAAGAGGAGGCCAAGATTGGGGGATGTAGCGAGTCAAGTTTTTTTCAGCGACACGTCCGTTCCCCCGAGCTTATGTGAACAACTTAGTGGTCGAAGTGCTTGCATCCTGTGTTCGCCAAGAAAAAAAAAACAGTGTGGAACAGGAGAAGAGAGAGAGAGAGGGAGTAAGTGTAAGTGGACCACTAAGGTGAGTCAGTGAAGGAAGAGATCATAAGAGAAAAAAGGGACTGACCAGGTTGCGTTTCAAGACCTTAGCTACTGCGAGTTCCAAGTCCTCTTGAGTAACGTGTTGTCGACGCTCACGTAAAGCATACATTCCTATAAAAAATCAGATCAGGTGGTTAGGGTCTCGAGATCGCGTCAAAGTCTGGGCCGAGGATTTGATGATCACTTGCCTGCTTCGGTACAGATTCCCTTCACCTCGGCTCCACTGCAGTTGCCCATCTTTTCTGCCAGGGCTCTCAAATTGATTCCACGGGTGAGAGACATCTAGAAAAGAAAAGTTCTAGTCATTAAGCAAGCAGTTTCTTTTATGGAGAAAAGGCAGGAGCCAACCTTTCGGGAGTGGATCCTTAGGATCGAGACTCGTGCCTCAGGGCCGGGCGGAGGGAACTCGATCTTGCGGTCGACTCGACCGGGTCTGAGGAGTGCAGAGTCGAGGATGTCGATCCGATTAGTGGCCATGATGACCTTGATATTTTTAGAGGGTTCGAAGCCGTCGAGTTGGTTGAGGAGTTCGAGCATAGTCCGCTGGACCTCGGAGTCGCCCCCGCCGCTTCCACTCTCGCCACGCGAGCTTCCGATCGAGTCGATCTCGTCCATGAAGATGATCGACGGCGCATGCTCTCTGGCCATCACAAACAGCTCTCTGACCATCCGCGAGCCCTCGCCGATGTACTTCTGGACCAGTTCGCTCCCGCTGACCCGGATGAACCGACAGTCGGTGTGATGTGCTACCGCCCGAGCCAGTAACGTCTTCCCCGTCCCCGGAGGCCCATAGAGTAGCACCCCTTTCGGCTGGGCAATCCCCAGCGCATCAAATAGTTCCGGATGCTTGACCGGCAACTCGATGACCTCCTTGATCTCCTTGATCTGTTTGTCTAGCCCTCCAACCATCTCATACGTCGAGTCTGGCACCTTCTCGACCATCATCAATGAGACCAGCGGATCCACCTTGGATGGTAAGATCGAGTGGAGCTGATAGGAATCCGAACGCAAGGCAACTCGGAGTGCAGGCGTGAGTTGGGAAAGCTGAATAGATGGCGCGAAATCAACAACTAAATTTATTTTTGGCATGTCAGTTTTCTTATCAAATCTGAAACTTGATGAAACCATTTTTAAAAGATAATAGCAGGTTATTTGAGCGGACCATATTTTCCCTCAGGTTGAACCTTGACCAAGACTTTCTTCTTCCCCATCACCTTGACGACCTCGCCGACGTAGCTTCCTGGCTCTTGCAAGAGCTGGAGCTCTTCTCTGAGGAGTCTGACCCGAGCATTGAGCGAGTTACGTTGAGCCTCGAGTCGTCTGAGGTTCTGAGTCTTCCGATTGACTGCCAGTTGCAGATACTCGGTCTTGGTTTGGTAGTACGATCCTATGCCGCCTTGGTTGCTCGATTGGCTACTCGATGGTGGTTGGGCGACGAGTGAAGGCATGTTGGAGTGCTTTTGATGGTGTTTGTATGGTTGTTGTTGTTGTTGTGGGTGGGTGTGTTCTTCAGGCTGGGTTGTTTTTGGTCGAGAGATGACGAAGTGTTATTTGGCTATAAGCATACCACCCAGCGCGGCCCGATCGCTGCCAGGATATGCTTATACCCAGTCAGACTGCAAACAGAGGAACCAATTCTTGGAAGAAGTGGTACCACAACCACACACATCATCCCAAGCCCAGATTGAACTGAACGCCGTGACCATCGGTTGGAAAAAAGACTTGGAGCGAAACAAAACGAGTTGGAGTCGAGCGGATCTGACTGGAGAAGGGCTCATTGATGTCTTAAGGAAGCAAGAGCACACGCAACAATCAAGAAAGACCGGAGCGAAGAAGAAGAATTTGTTTAAAAGATGTCCAACACGACTTTCTCGCTCTGGATCATCAACAAGGCGGGCGGATTAATCTAGCAAGTGGTGTTTCCTTTTTTGAGACTTGCAGACTGTGTTCAACGGCGATCGGCTGACTTCTTCCCTTTCGAACAGTCAGAAGACATACGCCGAGGGCCTGCTGCCCCAGCTGACTTCGAACGACTACCTCGTCCTCGCTGGAACGTTCCATGGAATCCATGCCATCACCTCCAAGCTCTCGCCCGTCCATCCATCCGGGGGAGGAGTGGAGACCGTCGAAGCCGAGACATTCAAGATGAGCTGCTTCCAGACTCTCACCGGTACTCGATCTCTCCCTGAAAACTCATTTTGTAAACTTCTTAGCTTGACTGACTGGCTTTTGTTTTTTTGGTCTGAGAAACAGGTACCAAGTTCGTCCTCTTCACTTCCCCCTCTCACCCATCCCCTTCAAGATTACTCTCCAGAATCTACGGCGTCTATGCCGATCTGCTCAAGGACCCTTTCTACTCGGTCGAAAACCCAATCAGAAATGAGACGTTCGATAAACGTTGTCAGTCGATTTGTAGTACTCTCTAGTCTTCTCATCCATCATCGGATTCTATTCCAAATTACTGGACCAGGGTCTCTTGCTCAATTGAAAGTCAATTCATGGTACAATAAGCCTTTCATGAAGACCTCACACAGCGAATGTTCAAAATAAAAAATCACAATATTTTTTAAACTTAAATGATCAAAAACCATCGACGCGTCACTCTTTTTCTGAAAAAAGAATCTATGGAAAAACAAGTCACTTGTTGGAAGGCATTGTGCTAGTGATGAATTGATGGATTGAGAGTCGATAGCGAGGTTTAGAGAAAGCAGAGTCATGCAAAGCGTGGGGGATAACAGAGTAATGAACAAGAGGATCAGAGGATGGAGAATCTAAGAGGCGTTTGCTAAGGGTAAGGTTATAGAGTTGTCGAGTGAGGGAAGGCGGGACGAGTTCGTCGTGTTCACTTTGGATGAAGAGGAGGGGTAAGTCAGGGGGAATAGCTTGGAGGGCCGAAGCAGAGAGCCAACGATCACGAGCGAACCGACCGAGATAGTGATATGGGAGCCACTTCGAAGGGTAGAGTACCTGAACCATTTGAGGGATTGATGGGAGTGGGTTCTCGAGGATCAGTCCAGCCGCCCGACCTGTCCCGACGGCGTCCTTGTCCGAGCACATCCTCGCCAGGAGCTGTGCGGCTGCCGCCCCGCCAAGCGAGTGACCGTGCAGCCACACTGGTACATCACCCAGGCCCGTTCGATCACCCAACTCCCTCAACACCCGCAAATAATCCCTTATGATCCCCGCCTCGCTATGTCTGTGTCCCGGCACCGATAGCGCAGTGAACGGGAACGGAAATGGCCCCCCTGAAGTCCAGTATCCCCGTGGCGAGAGCGCAAACAGCCCTAGCTTGGGCGAGTTGGCGGTCGATGGCGGGAGTAGCAATTCGCGAAAGACTGGAAGCCGTGCAAGCGTGTTGCCCGCATTACCTTGAGGGATTACCAAGAGTATCAGAAGAGGGAGGAGAGAGAGATCCACTGGGTAGCAATTGCTGACCTTGGAGATAGTAAATTAATCCATCTGGGGGCTTCGAGCCAAGTGATGAAGGCGTGAGGAGAAGGCCATCCAGACGAGGACTCCCGGGCACCGAAGCAAATGAGAGTTTGCGGACAGTGAGCTCACGGAGAAGCGGGTCGGCCGGGTCGAGCTCTTGTGTGCGGGAGCCGGGCGGGAAGTATGGCATGTAGATTATCCTGCGCTGAAAAAGGACGAGCATTAAGCACTACATCCGCTTGGGAGGATCGGGCCACATGCGGGAAAGGACGCAGAAACAAGTTCAGTCGATCAACACATCCGGGTTCAGGAGCCCGTCACAGTCACACCAGAGAGATTGGGAGCGCGATTTTGGAAGCAGTGGCTCGCTCACCTTCCATGTCCAAAGTGCCACCGGAAGCCCGACCAAGAGTTGGCCGACGAGAAGCCAAGGCACTCCATCGGGCGCCAGAGAGCAGCCCTCCAAATCAGCCAATCGAGCGACCGGCAGCGCCGACCAAGCACGCCACAGTCGGGGCGTCGTACGTCTTCTCAATCTCAAGTGGGTTGGATCGGGAATATAAGAATGTGCATGCCGCCGAAGGGTTCGTATTCCCGTCCGGATCAGCCCGCGATTCATCGGTCTGTCGCTTCGACGACCTCGGCAGTCTTCCTTATTCTCCGGGAGGGAGGGTCGTATCGGCTGAGATGGTTCGGCAGTGAAATGGTAGTCGTTGTTGATTGCTCTGGTCAAGCTCGACTCTGGTTGCACAACATTAGACCATGTCTATCGCCAACAGGCCCTCGCTGCAGGAATTTACGCAGCCCAATTGGGCCCTTTTGGGAATCTTACGGGACCAAGGCATTCCTAGTGTGAGTGCCTTGCTGGTAGTAAGGGTTCAAGTTGATTGCCCCAGTCGTCTAGCAACTCTAGACGGCCATGGCCCTTCAACAATGAGGCGTACATTGCCGGGAGGGTCTGCGATACCAAAGAAGCGAAGCTGCTCTTGCAGGCTGCCCAGCGAATCCCATCGGGAAGGAAGTCAGGTGCGAATTAGTATATAAGGAGATTAACGAGTCTTCCTTCTTCCCACTCATCCGCTCACCATTCCAATTGCCCAGTGTACATACATCCCCTTTTTCATCAGTCGATTTTTTACGAGGAACCGGCCTTCCATTCTTGTTCATAGAATTTTTTCTTTCTTCTGCCACTTTTTCCTTAAGCACATTTCCAGTACTCAATTTCAACCGACCTATACCCACGATGCAGATTCAAGCCTTGTTTTTCTTTGTGCTCTCTGCCACTGTCATGAGCCGCAGTGTAGTCCCTCAGCCCTCGCTCAACACCAGAGCCGTTGGCATCAATTCGTCCTCCAACCGCTTCTCCAGCGCTCTTGACCGCAGATCCATTATTTTAGTGAGTCAATCGCTCGTCGTCTACCTCCATAAGCGCGAACAACACTAACATTCCGTTTTTTGATCATGTTTCAGAGACGCGCAGGAGCCCCAGGCAGTGGGAACGAAGAACAAGGTCTCACTGGCGATCCAAAGAAGGCAGAGAGTGGAAGCCCGACAGATGACCAAAAGAAAGATGGCGACAAAAAGGAAGACGAGCAGAAGAACGACGGAGGAGAGAAGAAGGATGCCGAGAAGAAGGATGCCGAGAAGAAGGATGGAGACAAGAAGGATGGAGACAAGAAGGATGGAGAGAAGAAGGACGCAGAGAAGAAGGATGGGGAGAAGAAGCCGCCAGGCGAGGATAAAAAGGAAGATGCCACAAAGAACGAAGCGGACAGCAACAAAGAGGACGGCAAGGACAACAAAGACTTGAAGGACGGAGCAAAAGAAGATGGCAAGAAAGCAGGCAATGGATCCGCCGAGAAAGTCCCCGACACACCAGAAGGCATCCAACAAAAGATCGATGCCGAGAAAGCCAAGCTTGCTAAACTAAACCAACGAGTCAAGGCCAAAGAAGACCGGATTGCTACACTGGAAGAAAGGGTGAGCAAAATTCTCTTCCTGCCATTCCAGCTCGAATTTCTTGATCTGATTGATTCCCTTCACATCTGATGATAGCTTAAACGAGTTGGCGGCGGCGCTCCTGCCGGTCCCCCTAGCCCTGGCCCGGATCCCAACAACCCAGGCGGTCCTCCTGGTCCTGACCCTAACAAGGCAGGCGGTCCCCCTCCTCCGGATCCTACCAAGCCAGTCGGCCCCACCGGCCCGGACCCCACCATCAACGGAGGCGGTCCTCCTGGTCCTGACCCTAAAAAGGGAGGCGGCACCCCTCCAACGGGTCCCAAGGCAGATACACCCGCTCCTCTGGATCCTACCAAGCCAACCGGCCCCACCGGCCCGGACCCCACCAAGGCGGCTGGGGACCTTGACAACGATGCTGGCGATGACTCGTGTGCACCCGAGACAGGAGACACTGACAAGAACTCGTCAGAATCTGGCAAAGCAGACGCTGACAAGAAACCATTAGACTCTGGAAAAGCAGATGTGCCCCCGAACGACCAGCCTGGACTCGGAGGAAAGTGAGCCCTTAAAATCCCCTCGCCAGAATGGAAGTTTCACTTGGCATCCAGCCTACAGTCGCTATACTGGTCTTCTCTTCTCTTCTTGCCTTCCCACCGGTCCATGGGTCACACTTTGTAAAGCTTATCATGATTGTTGATAGAGCATCCTTCAATTCTATCGTTCCATTTTATCATCTCAACACACATTGTATGTTAACACCTTCACAATTCTTCATCAAGGAAAAATCCAGTATCTGCTGTCCACGTGTCCCATAAGTTGAGCTGTCTGAGTGTCTTTATGTGCACAGGTACAACAATGAAAGAATCCAGATCCAAGAATGATTTGACAACACCCAAGTGTTCCATTATCTCTATGGGAAGTGCTCAAATCCGAGCTTCCTGCGCCTCACTCATCCACTCTTTATGCAACCTCCCGCCGGCTTTCTTTACTTGGTTTTTCCAAGCTCCATTCTATGAGTGTGATTGTATTTAAATTTACCACCCCCGTTCAGGATCAATCATCAATAACCAATTGCAAGACCACCATTTGATAGCAGAAACTTTCCGAACGTTGTTTCAGGGACCATTGTGGCAGATATAATCATGTGGGGTTAATCACTGGCAAGATCCCTGGATTCTTCCTACTCCTGGTATTTCAATAAAAAACGCAATCCATCAAGGTTTGGAAGTAAGAACCTTGTTATAAATGAGTTTGTAAATATATATAGGGCAGATTTAGTCAATTTGAGCCTAGGATTGAATATACCAAAAATTATGTCAAAACACCATGGGTAAACAAACACAAGCATGTATTGGAATATAATTTGAGAACATAATTCCCCCAATTTACCAGAAATATCTACCATCACTATTCTATTATGAGGGGATGCATGATGTAGTTGGCTATGAAGATGCATGACAATGTCATGAAGACATACAATAATCTGTTTTCAATACCCTACAATAATTCTGATCAGATCATGGGTACATTTCTATTGCAGTAATTCAAACACAAATTCAAGAACCTTATAAAATTCCCCTCAAGACCTCTAGAATACAAAAGGAAGGCTTCCAGATAAGATGATTTACAATGAGATCCTGATGAATTTATCTGTATTGGTTCATCATTTCTCAGTATTTCATGATGAAGATTGCAAATCTTGACACGTACTGTAGTTGTGTGGTGTGATCCTTAGGGTATCTTAAGGACCCAGGAAAACCCCAAAAAAACATATGAATTTTTGGCAAAAAAAACCCCAACATAATACACACAAAAGTGGTATGAATGGGGATGGGCACCCAAAATGGTACTCACAAAACATGGTTTAAATGTATAGCCTTCCAAAATGCATAGTCCCCACAGTTTTTGGCGGATTTTCTCACTTTCTGAGGGATTTTTCTCAAAGGATATCCATTAAATATGTATGAATGGCCTCAAAATCCGAATTCCCCCATGGCCCCCAATGTATGAATTTTTTCAAAACCCAGGGTGTTTTTTTTTGGTTACTGTGTGGTATATAAGGGATCTCCTGGTTCCTGAATCTTGTCAGATTTACCTCATGCCCCGGGCCCCGAGATGGCAAAGAAGTGCCGTACAATGAGGATCCACCAACCAGACACACACCAAAGCAATTGTCCAATTTTCGCATGTCCTTAGTCTTGCGTCTGTCCAAGTACACACCCGGACGAATCGGAATAAGTTGGTTCGCCCGCGAGGCGCACCAGCACTACAGGCGACCCCATGCCGCAATACAGTAAATTAGTTGCGCAACCGGCGGGTGCGTGATTGCAGCGGCCTGTACACCCTCTGGGGGCGTTGCCGGCCAAGTGTATGCAACAGTTACGTGTTGGGTGCAAGCTGGGGTCGTAATGACCTGGGTTCGCCCCAGGCCGTCCTGGTGCAACGCACCCAGGCCATACCAGCACCCGAGACGGACTGCGACATGCAATTGTAACCGCCCGGGGTCGCTATACTGACTCGAGACCGGGCTCGCCATCAGTCCGCCGATAGGCGGCACTGGTCGCTCGATCGGTCAACCTTTTTCCTTTCCCAACACCCACCTGGAAAGATGTCTTTTTAGGTGGGTGTTCGAGAAAATAATCGATCTCTTTTTTTTTTTTTTTTTTTTTTGACTTGACTTGGGAAGATTTTTTTCGAAGTCGGATGAATAACTGGCTGGGGGGCGAGTCAGATACCCATGATCCTGCCTCTCCTCCCACCACGGTCATTTGCGTGTCGCCGCGGATGTAACCGTCACCTTGACGAATCCGCGTGCGTGACTGCGGCAGTAGGCGCAGTGACTGCGCACGAAACCCCCAATGAAACCCCCAGATGTCGCTCCGCGCGGGAGCGACATGCAATTGTCCGTGGTGTCCATCGGTGTTCTATCCCATGAGTTTGGCGTGGGCTCCCTTGGGTTTCGGCGGTGTGAGATAATGTCGGGTTCGAGCCCGGCCTTGACCAGCTTTTTGGCTCTCCCCGACCTGGCTGTGTGACCTGTCGAGCCATAGGGCCGGTGCGCCATCATGACGCCCGGCCTTTGATGGCGGCGGTCCTCCGACTCCGTGGGCGATAACTGAGACGCACCCATACAGGGTGAGACGACCAAATCGCGGCCCAGCAACACGCAACTATGACGGGTTCCGTTTGGACGCCCGGATCGCGCGAGGCGCTTGCAGGGTCACGAGGGCGCCTCGTTAGCTGCACCCGAGGCGGCGGACCCGATCCGGTGTGTAGGTCAATGGCCCGTTGGGTGAGAGGTCTTGCGGCTTGTCACACAGGTCTGCAATGGCCTGTTTATCCAGCCACAACAACCAAGAGGGACGGTTAATTTATGCCAACTCCCTAGGTGAAACGGAAAAACAAAATAAAATAAAACACATCTCCAGGGGAATGGGGAAGACAATCACCAGGACGATCAAGAGAAGGTCCTAGGGAAATCCCCAAAGGTTGGCAGCTGTTTTCCCCAATTTTGGGAGTGGGTTTTCCAAGTCCCTGAAACAACTTCAATAATCAAGAGCCTCCCATCTGTGATCCAGGATAAATCGGTTCTCTTCTGCGTCCTTGTTGGCCTGTCGTGAGGTGAGCCGACTCTGCCCATACTTTGGGCTGCTTGAAGTTTCTGTGACCTCCGCAGACAGTCACCTTAAACCACCTCTTTTTCTTTTCCACATCAGATTTGTTTTTTTTTGAACCCCTAGTCAGTATGGAATCTGAGGAGTACTAATTTGATCTGGACTGAAATTTTATGGACCTGGAAGAACACTTGGGTATTACTTCTTTCCCTTAAAGCCTCAGCTGTTCTTGAAGGAAATCGCAGATGAATATGGACTCACTAACCAATAGTAGAAATGATCATGTAACTACTTGGAAGACATGATTCTATGTACCTTCCATACTTGCTTGAGGATCTCAGTTTGCAGAGATTTGAGAGCAAAAGGGAATTGAGAGAATGCAAAATGGGCATCTCTAGAGTTGTCGAAACAAGAATAAGTTTCCGACTTGAGATTGACTCTGACGTCCACATCTCAACATATCCATCATCCGTCATCAACTCTGATGGGACAACCCTGAAGGAGTAAGAGTATCTGGCTGCCAAATCCTTCCACCACATGGCATCCACTCAAGCTCCAGCAAAATCTTTGAACATGGTTTGCTCCACATGAAGTGTTTGATGCATGATTTGGACAATGTCTCTAACAACATACAAACTAAATGGCATATGTTTTCTTTCATTTCTTAGTACGTGATCCGTTCTTCGTGATCCATTTTTTTAGGGAGAGGGGGGGGGGGGTAGAAAGAAGGAAGTTTTGTTGTTCAAAACAAAACCAAAGGGGAGAACTTGTAAGGGAGGGGATGAACACAAACACAAACACATATATAGATATATCTCAAATATAAATATAAAACCGAAAGCTTCACAACAGAAGCAGGAATAAGAAGAGGGCTTTAAGAAGAGGGAGAAGAGGAGGAGTTGAGGCGGGAGTTACGGAGTTCGAGGCGAGTTTGGATGCGATCCCTAGCGGCCTGGATGAGTTTATTGAAGTTACAACAGGAGGGCAAGCCGGGCTGGATTTCGTCGCCGAGGTCGAGGGTAGTATCTGCGAGTTTATGGATGAAGCGGGTGGGATGAGAGGAGGAGGGGGAGGAAGAGGGATGGAATGGGGGGATGGTGGACTGGGAGAGAGGACGCTTGCGTTTGCGGCCAAAGACGTTACTTGGACTGTCTGCCAAGGGCGAGGATTTCGACTCGGAGCCGGCGATCTTCAGGCGGACTTGATCCGCAAGCTCGTCTGTTGTCAGTACTTCGTGTGGATCGTAGCCCGCCGATGAGGAGTGGGCGGGACTGTTGGGACGAAGGGTTGCCGAGCGTCTGGCGTTCTCTTTGTCCCCTCCCATCTCCTCCGCCGGCCCAAAATCATCCTCATCGTGTTTGAACTCGTCATTCGCCGGCACAATGTCATCCAGGAAGGCCCGCTCGGGAACGTTGTCTACAGCAAGCTCGTCGAGCACTCGGTCGAAGTCGTCCAACGGTACTCGGCCCAGCTCTTCCTGGAGCTCGTGGGCCGCCTTGTTCTGGGAGATCGAGTAGGCAATGTCGTCGAAGGATTTGACGAGGGTGCTGTAGCAGTCCTTGAGTGCATCCAGCTGGGCGGTCTTGTGGGCTAGTGCTTCCGAGAGCCCCAGGTGTTCCTCGTCCTGTGGCGAGGGCTTGGTGTCCGTCGATGATGGTCGGGCACGAAGCGAGCGCGTCTCGGGACGGTACCGCTGGAGCTCATATGTGGCCAGGCGTCGGGTGGGCGGAGGGGGCACGGGCGAGGAGCATTTCAAGGGACGCGGAGGGGCCGGCTTGAGCACTGGATGGATCGCCTCGTCTGGTAGTGAGAAGATCCGCTTGGCAGATGGGTCGTAGGGGTCGAGCGTGGAGCGTCGTTCGGCAGGCCGGCCACGAAGGCGAGTGGTGATCGCGGAGTCGCTGGGGATAGTGCGCTTGGTTTTGGAGAGCTTGGATGAGCCTTGGACGGGGCTTCCATCACATAAACTCGGGCTCTCGGACTGGAAGATACGCTGTCGGTTTGAGCCGGTTTTCTTGTGTGAGGAGGCCGGGGAGACGCCGCTCGAAGGCTCGGTAGGATAGCTGTTCACACGGGTGGGAGATGTGAGGATGTCTAGGACTTCGGAGGGCGAATCTGACAAGGGATCTACGGTAGAGCTTCCCAATCAGCTGAGGTGACTGGAATGATTGTTGTTTGGGAGGGTCAGAACACATACCAGTGGTGCCGATTTCCTCAGAGCGAAGAGCGTAGGGACAGCTCGATTCGTGGTTATTGACCTGCTTGGAAGTGCCTAGGAAGTTGCAAGGCTCGTTGACACAACTGACAGAGGTGGACGAAGAGCTAGATGAGGACTAGAAGGAGTTCAAAGGATTGTCAGAGGATGAGAGCTTGAACATACGAGAAGTATCGACAGGTGGCTAGATGTTGGCGGGCGTTCCTAGGGTGGTAGGAGACGAGACAAGCTGTCAAGTGGAGAGGGGATCAGAATCAGACTCAGAAGGGTTTCGATCAGAGGCAGGATGGAGATGGCTAACGTGATCTGGGACACCTGAGCCAGGGCGAGTCGGTTGAGGAGGGCTTGAGTTTCTTGGGGGGCATCTGAGGCGAGTTGGCTGGCTCTGGGATCCAAGTGAACTGAAGGCGGTAGAGTGGTGATGAGTGATGGGTGTCTGGGATATCTGGATGTAGGCAGCCAGGATGGTGGATGATATGCTTCGATGTTGATGATGTTTGAGTTTGGTTTGGTTTGGGTTTGGCTTGGTTTTGATGTGGCTTGTGGATGTGTTGTGTCTGATGGGAGGGGAAATCCTACAAAGGGGGGGAGGTTGCTTATTAAGTTGTGGCAGTGGTGTTCAGGACCACTCAACATCCACTCCTTCCCAGCCTCGTGGGCTGTAGACTCAGCCTCAACCACTCATCCAGCAGAACACGCCCAACAACTTCGCCACCACCTGCTGAACATTTTTAAAGCTCAAGGCACCCTCTCAACTCTGCCAACAAGACTCTCCTGGCTTCCGCAAGAAGGCAGCAATGCAGTCTAATTGGATTCATGAATACCTTTTGACCCGAAATTCGAGCCATTCTAGCCAAAAGGACATGGCATTTTCATCAAAAGTCGAAACAACAGAGATATCACTCTTCCCCCTTCCTACATAGACTCTATCCATCCCGATCACTGAGTCTGTCTGCTCGGATATCGGTGACATGAAGCTCGATCCGTTGATATGGCAAGCTTGAGTCGCGAGAGATGAATGACTTCCTTTCAAAGCACGCTGCTCGCGGTGTGCAAGGATATGATCCTGACCAATCAGAGCGCGCCACCCTTCGAAGCACGCGCGGTCCAAAAGGGATCTTTGAATTCAAAATACCCCAAAAGTCAACATTGAAGTTGCATATGCTTGTATCCAATATCACACTTAGCCATCCTCCCCCTCGGGGGGATGGAAAAGGTCAATCATGAGACACAAATCTTTCATCAAGACAAGCATGCATGCAGAAAATTTGGTGAAAAAAATTCTTCTGTGGGGGCATTGAACCCACAACCCTTCTATGTATACCATACCAAGTTTTTGAAATTAGGGCCAAAAGGTTGGTTTTTAGTTCAAAAGTTCCAAAAAGGATTCCATGTACAGTCTCCTCCCAGATGTTTATAGCCATCTGCTTTGAGCTCCAAAGCAGGAACCCAAAAAACTTCAAGTCACAAGATTTTGTGGAATGGTGGAAAATGGGTTTCAAAGAATGAATATGAAAAAATAATAATAAGAAACAAGATTTTAAAATGTGTGAAAAAGATAAAAGAAAATCAACTTTTTTTGAAAACTTTAATTTGTTGTTTGAGTGAAATGTGAACACACAGACGGCAAGTTTGGAACATGAAAAGAATGATTATAAATGAAAAATATTGATCCAAAAAAAGTTTCAGCATGGTGGGTGGACACCCTGCAGTCAAAATCAGTAGATTGCAGTACCAGAATGCCACATTTCTTGATGAATGACCCCCTAGGCACCCTTTTTAAACTAGAGATGGTCGGTCCGCATCCGGATACCCGTTCGGATGCGGATATCCGATGGCAATTTCAGCGAAATTGCACATCCGCATCCGCACCCGCACCCGCTAGCGGGTATCCGTCGGCCGCAGCGGGTATCCGAGCCAGGATCCTGGGCATACCCGCCCTCTAAAGGGCCGGCGACGGACCGGCTGGAAGGGTTCCTTCCAGCCGCGGGCCATCTCCCCTCCCGGCCGCGGGTATCCTTTGGGATACCCGGATACCCGCCAGCAATTTGCGGAAAAGGGGCCATCCGCACCCGGATCCGCACCCGCTGGCGGGTATCCGTTGGCACAGGCGGGTATCCGCCAGCGGATAACGGGTATCCGCAACGGATACCCTTCGACCATCTCTATTTTAAACCACCAAGTAGTCATTTTTTTCCAAATGTTCACTTTTTATCATTCATTCCAGATCTCATACTATCACTTTGGACATTTCATCTTTTCCTGAAAGAAAAATTGAGGCTGTCAGTTTTTGTGATTTTCTCCTTTTTACTTTTTACAAATTTTAAAATCTTATTTTTTGTTATTATTTTTTCATATTCATTCTTTGAGACCCGTTTTCCACCATTCCACAAATTCTTGTGACTTGAAATGTTTGGATTCCTGGTGTGGAGCTCAAAACAGATGGCTAGAAACATCTGGGAGGAGACTGTACATACACAAGTATGCTTGGTGAGAAAAAAACTGAATCTGCTACATACAGCTATTTCGGAAAGGGTTGTCCACTTGGACTCGCAAAATCTTTTTTATTTTTTTATTTTTTTTATTTTTTATTTTTTTACTGAACTGGACCTGTCAGAACTGAACTAGCGATGACAGCTGTACCTCCTCGGCTGTAGTTCAGTGCAAAGAAAAATTTAAAAATTTTCAAAAAAAAAAAAAAATTGCGAGAGACAACTGGACAACCCTTTCCGAAATAGCTGTATCTGGTTATTTACATCAGCATCATTTTTGAAAAAAAAAATGTTTTGCTACATGATTGTACATAAGCCGGCTTGGTCGGGGCTCTCTGGGGTCCTGACAAAACCCAGTCAAAACAGATTCAAGCCATGGATTGAGCTTGATTTGTTTCAACAGGCTTGATCATGAATAGCCCAAGCAACAGGGTGGACACAGTCAGTGGAGGACTGATCACCAGGCTCTATAGACAATATGAAGTAAATCAATTTGATACAATCAGTCTCCCATTTGGAACAACACCTGTCATTCTCTTGATGGGGACACCTCTTAACTTATCACAAGTCTCTCCCTGAGCACACAGCACTCGACCCACAAAGGGAGAGACAGCTTGGGCATCAAGTCTAAATTTTGGCTGGACCAGAAAGTACCCTTTTGCAGTGAGTTTTTTTTTCATTTTTTAAGAGCCCAGCAACCATTTTCTCCTCATATCACAGCTAGGTGGTGGAGTTTGATAGGACCCCGGCAAGCCCTGACCAAGCCTACTTATGTGAAACCAGGGAAAAATGGGTTTTGGATACGTGCAAAAATCAGTTTTTTTCTGAAAAAGTCCATTTTGCTACGGATTACATCAGTAACATTCTTTGCATAAAGACAAAAATTTGGTGGAAAAAAGTATCCCATTGGGGAATCGAACCCACAACCCCTCAAATCAAGGGTTTTTCTCACCTGAAAGAGCAAAAAGCTTGGTTTTTAGTTCAAAAATGCCCAAAAGGATACTTAGTGCATAAGTATGCTTGGTGAGAAAAAACTCCAATCCGCTACATATCCGGTCCATTACATAAGTATCATTTTCATAAAAAAAAAACCCATTTTGCTACGTGCCACATAAGTAGGCTTGGTCGGGGCTCGCCAGGGTCCTAGTTTGATCTGCTCTTCAATTTGCTTTGGGTGTGATCACCTCAGGACCAACGGTTGATTATTTAATAATAAATTATCAACAATGATCAAATTCCATTTTCTTTTTGGGAAAAGGATCCACCAGAATCTGCCATTTATCGACAAGGATGGTGGGCTTGTGGATCCTAGGACATGCAAGTTATCATACATATGAATTGGCTAATTGATATAGCTTGAACTTGGCCGTTTATCTGCATAAACAAAAAAAAAGAAAGCAGATATAGCATTGGAAGTGCCAGAGAATTTTCTATTTGTTTGAGGACTCTGAATTCTTTCCTTCTTCTTTTGTTGAGGCTAGAGAAGCCTAGTTTTGGGGCTACAATGACATTGAAGGTGTCAAAATGTGCACAAGAAGTAGAGGAACACTCACATGTTTTTTCATTTGATAAATGTGGGCTTCAGGATCTTTTCTCCAGAATGTCCTTCCTGATCCTGCCCACATTGGGACTTGATGTGTAAGCCTCTCCTACAGAGAGCTTGCTGTGGGGAAATCTGTTTGAGAAGATTTGATAAGCTAATGAGCTCACCTTTTCAGTCCAAAAACCAACACAACTGTGAGATTTCTTTGGAACAACCACCTGCTGGGCGTAGATATTTATATAATTATCAACAGTGTTGTAGTTTGGAAGCCTTTTGGATGGTATACAAGAGCAGAGTATTTCCAATCCAGTTTCCAAAAGCCCTTGCAACGTGTTCTTCCGCTTCTTGAAAATGCTTGAGTCAGGTTGGTGGACAACTTTTCCATAAGCACCTGCACGATTGAATATGGAGTTGGAATGGAAGAGCAGGTAAGTGATTGGATAGGAACCAAAGAACGTTCGAAGTTGGAATCGCTAGAAGCATTGCTGGATCAAAACCAGAATCACTGGAGAGTATCAGTTGATCTCGTTAGGGATAGCGGTAGCTTGGAAGGAGCTGTGAGCTCCGGCCACGGCAAGATTGGCAAGCCACCATCTCTATTTTTTGTTGACTTCAAGCAAAGTGGATTAAACGGAACATGAAATCTGGAAGGTGGCAATTGCCAGCCAGTCGCTACCATACATATTCACATGAAAGTGGAGGGGGAGGCACCAAAGGTGGCAAAGGACGGAATCAAAATCACCGAGTTGCAGGACTGTTTCAATTGATTGGTCTTTGATTTGCTTCTTCCAGGCCACGTAGAACTCTCGACTAAAACAGTCAACTCGTTAACTGTGGTTTGACCTGGTTTGATAGATGTAAATATGTAAGGTTCTCATTGAATCCATCAAATTGAGCCGGCCATATGTTCTCGACAATTGGGAGATGTTTTGAAGGGTCCCTTGCCATCCTAATCACAGACAGATCTGTACATGTTTTGACTGTTGCAGATGATGAGGTTCTGCAAGTTTTTGGAGTCAAGAGCTCGCCCAGATGGATGGGAAGATTGTAGACTCGCGTGTAAGCTTCTCTCCAATGCTGGATGGATGGGAGCTGTGTTGATGCTTTAAGAAGATAAACAGATGATTGGTTTCTTTGTGTTGCAGGGTTGGATGTCTCAGTGAGTCAGCTGAAAGAGGCGTGATAGCGACGAAGGTCAAGCGAACCCGCAGGAAGACTCTTGCAGCTTGACTTGGCCGAGGAGACTTTGGTCCGGATTGAAACCCAAGACGAAGCCAGCTTTTGATTGGTGAGTCCATCGGAACAGTTCTGTCAATCTCAACAATTGCAGAGAGTTCCGCAATACGATAAATGAACCAGGGAGATGATCAACACTGACCAATCGCTTGTCTCTCCACTTCCCTGAAGCATCCAAAGGATTCAACGATACATATAACGCACATATACCGCGACCGATCGGAAAACGAACCCGTGAATTTGTATATGGCGAGCTTGGGATCGGTCTGGGGCACTCTCGCTCGGCCCAATCGACGGCCACCACCTATATCATCACTGCTTGGACAACGGCAGAATTACTCTCCCTTGCCAGTCCGGCCGACTTCGAAAGGTATGTCCGCCCCCCCTCCATATCCAAAACAACCCAGAGAATTTATCTTTGCTTGAGAGAGAGGGGCAGCACGATTGATGACTGCTTAATTTATCTCGAAATCAAAATTTCAGCTCGAAAGTTGGCGAAGCGAGCCAAAGTAGGAAAACTCAATTTGATCGACCAGACCCCTCCTCAATCGTCCTGGAATCTCAGCCCACCATCGTTCTGGAATCCAGCCACAAGCTCGCAGCCGAACAGCCCCAGCTTTCCATGGACAGAGTACGACAGCAGTAGGTTATCTCCCAGAGCGCCGGCCAGAGCGACGAATGTCCCGAACGATGGGTCCAGATCCGGAGCCCCACGATCGACGGCAGCAGTCGTCCAAGTACCCGAACATGGGCCACAGGTCCTCCAAGCCAACCATCCAGCCGCCCCCTTACTCTCGCAATCCGCCCTGGTGATCGTCCGCCAATTGGAGATGATGAACCTGTTCATCGGCTTCGAGCAGGCCAACCGCTACCGGATCCTCAGTCCGACGGGCGAAACCTTGGGCTTCCTGGCCGAAGAAGAACGCGGCTTCAGCGGCACCCTCTTCCGCCAGATCGCCGGCACCCATCGGGCGTTCCAGGCCAGCATCTTCGACCCTCTGGGCGCCGAGATCCTGCGGATCCGCCGTCCATTCAGTCTCATCAACTCGCGCATCTTCGTCGAGGACAGTCTGGCTACGGATGGTTCTGAGGAACGAGCGATGATCGGCGAGAGCCAACAAGAGTTCCATCTCTGGCGGCGACGATACAACCTCTTCACCCGACTCGGCTCAGGGTCTGCTCAGGATGAAGAGCAACAACAACTGTACCAGCAGTTCGCCCGGATCGACGCCGGCTTCCTCTCCTGGGACTTCTTCACCCTCGACGCCAACGCCCGTCCCACCGCTAGCGTCTCCAAAAACTTCACCGGCTTCGGCCGCGAAATCTTCACCGACACCGGCCAATACGTCGTCCGCTTCGATGCCGTCGACGCCCCTCAGATCATCGAGCAGTCCCCTCCTCTCGCCAATCCCTCCGCCTCTCTGGGCCAGTCTACCGGCTTGACTCTCGATCAACGCGCCGTCATCTTGGCCACTGCTGTATCAATGTTAGTCGCTCTTTCTTGACGTCCAGATTCAACTAGGTTTAAACTAACTCTGATGTCTTCTTCCCTCACTTGTACAATCACTTGATCCATCGATTCCGACATCTTCTTAGCGATTTCGATTACTTTTCTCGGTCCCATAGGGGCGGCTTGATGCCTCCGATCTTCTTCGGCGGGGGCTCATCCTCGGATGGAGATTTCTAACGTCGTCCATGATGCATTTATCCTTTACTCGAACTCTTTGGGTGACCCCCCCGCCCCATCTGCCTCTTTCGCTGGGTATTTGCTTATCCATTAATCAACCTTATTTATATATATGCTCTTGTTTGATTTAGCTAGATTAGTTTTGAAAGGGCTTGAATGATTAAAATATAGATATCAAGCCAAAGATAAGCACTTCTTTCTTATGCAATGTACAACAACGAACGGTCTGGAATGCCTTTCTCTGCTGTTACAACATACACATAACGATATATAAACAAGGCAACAAAGAAATTATATGGCAAACGATTCTTGATTAAAGGGGTGTTGTTGGAGGGGGGATGGGAGAGGGGAGAAAGAAGAAGGAAGAGAAGTAATAGGTTAAGACGTGTGAGGCTAGGTTAAAGCCTAATAAGCTGATGAAATATAAGACGGTGTAGGCTAGGATCGGGATCAGCAGGATCTCGGATTTGATGAGGAATGGTAAAGAGTTGTATCCTAAATAAGTCACATAACTGTATTGCGTTACCTATAATAGAAATAGAACAGAAGGGATTGTATTAACGTCTACCAAATTGATTTCTCCCTCTCTCTTGAAGAAGGAGGATGGGAAACAAGGCTAGATTGGTGAGTTCGCAGAGGACTTAACTGCAATCAAGTATAACGAGTTACCGATCCAAAGCGAGACCCAATTATGGCGGAGGACCAAGGGGGCGAGGATGAGTTGGAGGACGTAGAGGTTGAGGAAGAGGGGGAAGAATGAGTTTGTATGGATATCAAATGCGTATTGCCTGGGTCCCATACAGATCAATCGATGCCTTAGTTAGTGGTCTCTCTCCTTTGGTTGATCGGATGATGATCAGATTTGGGTGAAGTTGGTGCTTACCATTCTACCCGCTGATCGGTCGCATGAGTATGAGATGAATGAGTAAAGAAATGATTCGACAGCGCCCTGGATAGAGGAAAGAGGTTAGCAAAAAAAAAATACAGTGTAAATGGCTGTGGCATGGAGGAGGTAAGACCTCAGAAAAAGAAAAAGGAGAGGTAGGGGACGAACCAGAGAAGAGTGCTGATGATTAAGCCGCTGAGAAAGAAGTCCCTCAAGATGAATCGGGAGACCAAGCCGAGCCAGCTGATCGGACTCCACGAGCGTAGATAGAGTGCGTTCCAGAGGAAGCCGACGAAGGCCATCGATCCTATCAGGAGGATCAGGATCGCTGGGTCATCTCTTGCCCACGTGTTCTTAGTCTGTTTGTGGTAATAGACGTTCCGATATCTGGTGGTGGGGATGGGGCAAAGGGCGCATACAATCAGAAACGTCCATCTTTTTTTCATGTTTGTTACGGAATTGGAAGGGAGACTGACACTCTTCTCGGTGCGATACAGAGATAGCTCATCTGCCATGCGGCGAGTTCGAAGTCCATCGTTGGCCATCGACTGGGCTTGAGCAGTCTGGAGAGCAGTTTCTTGAGCTTGTCAGGCCCGGAGCGGGGTCTGGCGAAGGGGCCAGAGGGCAGGAGGGAGGCGGATGATGGGATGTGTCTGCTGGGCGAGGTGGATCGAGAGATCGAGTGGGCTGGGTTGCTGGTCTGTCCGCCTCCATGGCCGTGGTTGGTTGATGATGAGCCTGATGCTGTTGCTGCTGTGGGTAGGGCGTATAGATGTTTTGACATCTCGTCTTGCTTTCTTGGTTTTCGTTCGGCTGATGATTGGTTTCCTCGAAATCGAGAAATCCAAGAAATCGGTCGCACTCCACCTCGGGGACTGATCGAGCTGCACCCGAGGGTACCCGGGGGACCCAAGCACCGAGTCAAGTGGCCCATTCTTTCACACTGCAAAACACTTCAAGCCTCAGTTCTGTTCTCTCGATCATGGATGCTTCCACAGACGCTAACCAAGTTCCGAGATTCAAAAGCGTGAGTGGAAAGACTCTTCCCCCTCCCTAAACCAACAGCCCAACCCACTAACCAGCTGACTGTGTATACATAACTGGAGACACTAAAACGAATGCGTGTCTTGTTCTTTGATGATGATGATGATGTAGGGAACGATTCAAGAGATATTCCGACAAGCATGGACGAATGAGAGGAAGACTTCACTGCAATTAATGGTCGAGAAGCCGCCCAAGATCAACGAGATCAGTCTCCGATTATCGACGGAATATCTCCGACTGTTTGCGATCGAGTGTATCCATCGGGCCACTCAAGTTGCCCAACAAGAGGAGGAAGAAGAAGCCCAACAAGCGGAAGAAGAAAAGAATCGCCTGAAGGACGCAAATGAGACGGCCGATGAGAACTTGCGCTCCGCTCTCAAAGGGCTCATCCAGGTCGGTCTCCCTCGCTTCTCATTGCTCTCTCCCCCACCGAACCTTTCTGCTTGCTTGCAACCAACTGTCTCTCTTATTTATTGTCCCAATTCACTCAAACTTCGTCGATCAGCTTCGACATTTACAAAAGGCTGCCCCAGGTGTATTATTAGATTTTTGAAGGGGTATAACAAGTCAGTATGTATTCACACAGTTTTGCAGGATAAATATATGAAATTAACGTTTTTTGTTTGTTTTCAGGAAAGAAAATGATCATACCCCAGGTGGACGATGTATTCAAAAGAATGTATAAAAACTCAAAAATATCGCTATCGCGACGTGAATCCAGGACCAGTTTCAATATATGCTGTAGTCTATGTAAAAAAAACGCAACACCACACTCGGAATGTTTCGCCTGCTCTTATGATTTATTGATACTTCAAATGAATCTAGTCTTTCTCACCGCGTAGTTCGGGTTAAGGCGTGACTGGGGTGTGCTACTACGTCCCATAGCTATTGATCTTTATGCATTTTACCTCCTGACACATCTCTGGTTGCTGTTTTTTTTGTTCTTCTTTGGTCTCAAAAGTTCAAGCTTATCCAGAGGTGAGCCATCGTTCTTGTCCAGCTCAGGCGGGACTCAATCATCTTTTGAAGTTTGCTCAGATGTTATTCCGAATCAACAAATGGAAATTCAAAACTCTGATACAGTAAAAGCAAATGTGGCTGGTGGTTTGGTTTTTTGTTTATTTATTTATGGATGCATGTTTTATTAATGATTGAGAGCTGAATCAGACACTTCATCTACCCTCGCGCGCTTCGTGGATCTCTTCTTCTGTAAATCTCCTTCTCCTCCGCGCAGGGTGGGCGGGTGGTGCGAAAAAACCGGGTGTGAAGGCGATGAGAAAGAAGATACCTTCAGGGGTAGAACTCGGGAAGGATGGGGGCAAGAGGTTCTGCTACGAAGGGGGGGATGTAAGACCCAACTCCTAGCCCAGGCATCCCCCCCCCCCCCTCTGGCAACAGCCGGTGCATAGTCCGGCGGAGATCGAAGGTAGGCCTTCCGGCCGACCGCGTGCGATCTGATCTCGTGCCACTACTCAATGACCAGGGCTGGCGGCATAGTGCCAGCCTCTGTCTTGGCTGTTGCTGTAGGAGTGGGTCTACTACTGCAGCATCCATGGACGCCGGTGAACTCGCGTAAACCTCTCATAAATCCAACAAAGAACAGTGAATGATCATGCAGTGAATTTCTGAGGCGGTGAGCTGAGGCTGGTTAGGAATATAGTTCATCAGAAAATGGGACATGAGCCTTAAACTGGCTGCACAAGCATCGGGAGAACGGTGATGCCGACTCCAGGAGCGGAGGATGAGGTCCGGGGGCGCCAGCGGCGGCACCGTATAACCGTATACATTAACATATTTGGGACGAACAAGATACAAAAAATCACAACAGATCATGTTCTGCAGCTTCTTGAAAAGTTAGAACCAATCAGCCGAAGCCACTCAGATGTATCCCAGTGAGCACATCATCACCCAAGCAAACAGCCTTTGATCCTACGTGCGATTGGCCAATCCAGCCACACTGTCGAATTTCGAGTGTCTGGAGTGGAGGTCTATCTACTAGGGTCCCAAGTGATCCCAAACATACATAAAAACCCGCGAACAACAGCCATCAGGTTGATCCCCATCCGCTGCCACCAGGAGTCCATACCACAATCTGCTTCTTGCCTACTCTCTTCAATCCCGATAACCATCAAAAAAATCATTCCTATCATCATGTTGGCCAGTGGTCTTTACACCAGTCTTGTTCTTCTGTTGATTGGAACTTTCAAGCTTGCCGGTTGCGCTCCGGATAGCTCATTCTCATGTGATCAGTTTTTCCTTCCTACGCAGACCCAACAGCTTCCGGGATGAATGCTAAAGACTCTCTCTACATGCCCTTCTTTTAGTTGACTGCAGTCAACTGCCGGAGTTCGTCCAACAGAAGTGTTGTACTAACGGTAAATGTAAGTCCTCACCTTTCTTCGCCTTCTTTCATAGCTAATAATTATAGCTCAATAAACTACTCTGCTGTTAGGGGACGCCTCGCGTTGCCATCCCTAATTCGATACCTCGGCTGGAAAGTACGGTCAGTCGACCGCCGTATCCGCACCCGGCATTCGTATCCTAATAATTTGATTTTTATCTCCTATCCTCTAGTCGGACTTGAAGTACGGCGGCAACGGATAGGCTCAATGTCCAGGATGGTACGTGTTTAATTGTTGGACATCCGCAGTTTGACCTATTATTTTGGTTGTGTACCCACGAACTGATCATCAAGCCCTTTTCCTCATTTGTAGCCCACCCCATGAGGAGTCGAAAACACCATTCGATCGAGGACTGTTATTTTTCTATTTCATTTGAATTCCAAGCCCATGTGATCAAAACCAATCGGTCGAGATTTCCTTGGATATTCTGGTTACTTTATCCATACTGCTCTTTACAAGCTATTCTTGAATTTCGAGACAAATAAGAAATGCACAGAGTTTATTTACTTATTTAAAAAAACAACAACTGTCGATGATCGACAGTAGGTTCACGATGTCCCACAAATTTGAGCAGAGTCCATGTTTTTTTAATAACATGCAAAACAAAAAACAATCGATTTTGAAGTTTTTGACGATGATCGATAGTTTCAATACATACAAAAGTGCTTGAATCGTGTCTTGCCCATGCGCTGCGACAACATTGGGTGGGATGTATCGCAATGAGAAGAATCGTTCTTCAACTCTTCGAATCTGATTGGGATTGGCTTGGTGTCTTTCTGCAGCAGCGGCTGGTGGATAAAGATGAAAGAGTTTTTTTTATATTCTTTTTCGTGTTGTTGGACACAAAGAAAAAGAGGTACATACTTACTCACAGACCTGAGATCGACGATTAAGAAGGGACATTTGATGGGACCTAGTTCGTTAGTACAATGATGACCATGATCACTGAGGACGGATTGTCATAGGGCGGGAGATAAGGATTGGATTGCTGATGGGCCGGGGGGAGAAGCGGGATGAGTTCCGGATGACAAGTCGCGTCTTGACCACTCTGGCCGAAGGAAAACCTCCTCCAAGTTTGGTCAAGGTGGCTGAATGGAGAAGAAAGTTTTACAGCTAGTCTCGATAATCCTCCCCAAGAAGCGCGAACAGTCATTCCGATCCAGCAGTCAAGCCGCATCAGACGGCTCTTTGGCAGATTGGATGAACACCCTAGCTTAACACAAGCCCATCCATTCGTCGGGCCTGGTATTGCCTGGCTGGCGCGAAGCGCCCCTCGCGAAGTCCCTTCGGGACGCGGGGGTCCCCCCCCTCCGTTCGAGAGGCTTAGTTAAGCTAGGTATCAGATTCGGATTCAAGATCTTCAAATTATAATTTTATTCAATTTTTTTGGAAAGAGAGAGAGTCAAGTGAGTGAGTGAGGCTTCTTTTCTTCTATATGATTCGATGTAGTGCTTCCTTACTTACCTCCATCCTTCCTGGTCTCTTGACATTCCCGAATGCTTCAAGGGGAATCTCCTCAACTGGTCTGCTAATAACCACTCGAACCCCCCACCCAAGGGGCTTCCGCATCACCTGCGCCGCATCATGATCGCAGATCTCGGCCGGGTCGGCGAGCGATATGACCGTGCCGAAGTTTCAACCTCCCGCCCGACTTCAAACATGGTGCTCGTGCTTTGAGGGCGTTTTTTGTTTGTTTTTAGGAAACAAGATGATCATACCCCAGATGGACGATGTATCCAAAAGAATGTATAAAAACTCAAAAATATGGCTATCGCGACGTGAATCCAGGACTAGTTTCAATATACGGTGTAGTCTATGTAAAAAAAAACTCAACCCCACACTCGGAATGTTTAACCTGTTCTTGATTTTATGTAATTGATACTTCAAAGACATACACCACGGGTTGGTCCGGACGACTTTTGGTCGGTGCGCTGGATGGTTGTCCGGCCAGTTTTCCGTGGCTCTGTGAGGACCATCCTATGGATGGCACTCTCAAAACCTTGAATCAGACGTTTTTGGATAAACTAGCCATTGGATGGTCTTCTGGCAGGACAAACCCCAAAAAACAACAGGCACACAGATTGGGCTTGAACACACAACCTGCCTGCATCAGGAACATGCACAAGAGGGGCCCTTACACAACTGGTCATCCGATGTCGCGTACAGTCTGCTGCGACACCCGCAGTAAGGGGGGGCCCTTGCCGCGGGTGTTGCAGCAGACTGCGTGCGACATCCCAGTGACAGCTGTGTTACCAACTCGACTATATCAGATGTGACACTACGGACAATTAGCTGTTGCTGCGGCCCGCAGCGTCACCCAGACGTTTCAAGCGAAACTGAATCGTCATGCTACGTCAGCAGCAGCGACAACTCAATCCATGACACGACAGATCACACTACATAGGGTTCAGCGAGTCACACGTCACCTCAATCAACATACTCAAGACTGGAGCGTACATGTATTATACATTTAAATATTTACATTCATAACCTTTTCTTTTTTTTGCATCCATTTATATTCATGTAAGTTTTTCATCATTGCATATATATGACGTTACACCACTGACCGTCATCTCACTTCACCTGCTCACATCCAAGCTTATGGACCTGCTCAACATAAATAGGTTTGCCCAATCCCGCAAGCAGAACCACCAACCTCGTCGATTACTTGCCCGAAGTCCCCCCCCCAGTACCCTACACACTGCATTGCTGCAAACAACTAGCTCCAAGCCCCTTGTGATCCCCTAGATTCCAAACATCCTCTTACATCAACTCTATATTTCATCACCCAAACTCCCTCGATGGATTTCTCCGCCAATGCCTGGGCTTCTTCAACTGAACAATCTAACGCTCCACCAACTCAGACAACGCAAGCCACCCCTGCTTCTACCAACCCGTACATGGATATAATCAACAAGCTCGCCAGCGAAATCGAATCACTCAAAGCCAATGCGCAAACCCAAACCGGTTCCTCCCAGTCAAACCAAGCTAAAGGCAAGAACAAGAAGCCAACTACGAAGTCAACCACCCCGATTGCTCCTGCTGCCTCGTCGAGTTCTGCCGCAAAGAAGAAGCCACCGGTGCAAACAACTCCCAAAAGAGGACAGCGAGCCACTTCCGCCCCCCCCGAGTTCATGAATCAGCCAAAGACACCCAAGCCCCGCAAGCCAGTGGACGAGACTTACGTTGTGAAACCCTCCCCAAAGCAACATCCCCAGCAAATGCAAAATGGGGACTTCCCTCGGGAATTTTTGCCAACTAAGGTATGTAGTCTGCGCTCATCCCAATTTCTTAGCCGTGTGCTCATTGTAGCCATTTCCCTATTTTAGACGGCCTTATTTGTCCACATCAAGATGCTCTGGGGCTTGTTGAAACAGGATGCGGTTCCCTCACCCCCCGAGCTTGGCATGCTTGAAGAGTTCTACAAGTGATTCCGACGAACCAAGCAGATCGAAGAAGCAGTCCGCGGCGGCTTGGCAACTGGTCACTTTGGCCAACATGAAGTACAATGCTTCAAGGACTCTCAGGCTGGCCGCATCCGATACAGGAAATCCATCATCCACCTGGGAAGTAACTTCGTTCGATATGCTCAAGGCCTCATGGCCTGATTAGGCTTACGCGTCTGGTGTCCCAATCTCAAGGAAGATTCGGCTTCGTTGTACAACTCAGCTCATCAAATTGCAGCTCTTACCACTTTCACAGAGCTTGCTACGACTTCGGCTTACTCTTACCTGAAGATCGATCGAGAATTGGCGCAAGATATGACTCTACTCATACCCGCCTACAACCACTTTGTACACTATCTTCAATACAACCGATACAAGAGGGAGCAAAAAGAAAAAGGCAAGGCATCTCAAGAAGCAGCGAAAAAAAAATTCAACAAGAATCGAGAAAGGGTAATTTTCTTTTTCTTCTTGCTTTGCAATCCGGGTGATAGAATCTAACTCCTTGTTTCATATCATATCTAGTTGAGAAATGAAAGGCGCGACTTTGCCATCATCAACAAGTTTCCAAAGCAATATCGAGACATCTTGGAACCAATCACGGCCCACAGCAATGATGAGAAGGTAGAGGGGAAGGGCTTCTACAAAATCAAAACCTTGCCCTACCGCTCGAACAACACCAACCGGTTCTTTCGTCGTTTGGACATCATGATGAAGAACGCCGCCGAGCAAGATCCAATCGCCAAGTCGTCCCGACGCAGGGTTCGAAGACTACCAAAGAACCCCGAGATGTCGTCATACAAGATTGCACCAAAGGGACTGCCCATCGATTTCTACCACCCAAAATGGTACCACAACCTCGTCCCTGCTCAACAACAATCCATCCCAAACCAAAAAGCACTCGCTTTTCTGCCCGATGCCAACGAGTCCTTGCTTCCTAAAGGTGAATGAAACCCCGATGAAAAGATGGCCGATTCCACTTTCACAAGGAAGTACTGGGAGGTGTTGGCTGAGCCTTATGGCCTCCTGGGCGGTGATTCCTCAGACGATGACGAGGCTGCTGAGGAGGAACAAGGCGGAAATGACGATGACGAAGGCGAGGGGATTGATCTAACCCAGCCAAGCCCGGACAACTCCGACGACGAGTTTCATGTGGAGGGGGATGCTGGGGATTTGTACGAAGAAGAGGATGACGGGTTTGTGGTAAACGATGGCGAAGAGCAGGATGGAAGCGATGATGACGACGACGATTACGACAAAGCTGAAGATGGTGGTGTCAAAGAGGACTGCCAGATGGATGACATCCCAGAGTGCGAGGAAGATTGGTAATCAGGTGCCTCTCGTCCACTAGGTAGTATCACTTGTTTCTTTTCCTCTATCATTAAGTCCACCCTTCAAACATGTTTAGGTCCATATTATTCCCATGGTACATTTTCTATTTCATTGTCTCTCTTGTCTATTGTCTCCGCAAAAAAAAAAAAAAAAAAAAAGAAAAGAAAAAACAACCTCAGTAGTTTTCTGATTCTATCTTGTACACATTCTTGTGAGCCCAAAAAACACGCAAGGGTATCATGTCTCTCTTCTCTCTTGATTTTTTTCTATTCCATTCCATAAGTTGTACATACTCACTCAGGGGGTCTTTTTGGTTGTAAATGAAAGACCCTTGGAATACAATGCAATTGAGCAATACCATATTCCAATTGTGCCAACCAAGGTTGATTCTGTGTGAATTCAGTCTGTCTGAACAGGCTGGCTTTGACATGATCATTGCAGCATAGTCATTTATTTATTTCAGAAGTCAGGAAGGGAAACCTGGGAAAATTCAGTCTGTCCAAACAAATTGGTGGTCTTTGGTGTAATCATGGTGGCATAGAAGATGCACATTTATTTCAAAAAAGTGAAGGCTGATGAGGATAACAAAATAGATGATGTATTCACAATATGATGATGGAAGAAACATGATATGGGTATAATGAGGGTAGTATAAGTGGAGAATATACAAGACTTGTAGAGGGATAAGCTAGAGGATTTTGGGGAAGAAGCATGAGTAGGAAAAAGGTGGATGGTCTGGGGGGTTAACAAAATAGAGGAAGAAGTATTTACAATGAGGAGATGGAAGAAACATGATAAAGTTTGATGAGAGGAGTATAAGTGGAGCATGTACAAGACTTGTAGGGGGATAAGCTGGAGGATTTCAGGGAAAGAGAATGAGTCAAGGGAAAGGGTGGTGAGCTGGGGGGTGACCTGGGTGGATTTCTGAAACAGGAGTTAATCAGCCAGGAAAGCAATACAAGGAAACATATTAGATGAACCTACAGGTTTGACCATCATGGCCAGCAATATTGAGGAATGCATCATGTCCATGGGGAATAAGTGCTATTCCATTTTTTGGAATACTAAACATCTTGTCATCTAGAAGCCGGTATGCAGCCAGAGAAACCACTTGAGAGGGCAGAATTAGTTCCTCGTCGTCTTCAACCCTCCCCACAACCATGCCAAATAGAAACAGTAAGTATCGGAATGGACGTGTCCGACATGGATCCATTCTCTTTGGATACACATTTGTAATGGTCGACAGTACCAAGAACTCCTTCTCCTCGCCTAAGCCATCTTTGTAGCGATAACACTGTCGGACAAGACCATATCTTATTTTTCCAGCCACGTTAGCGACCACACAATTCCGCGGACTCATTGACCCTACCACTACCCCATCACAACTGATTGATCTTATTGGGATAGCTAATACTGACAACACCCAACAGTGCCTCGGTACCGGGAACGTCCCACGTCTGACCACCAATCGATCCCCACGAGCCACAAGGTCAAAAAGCATTGTATATATGGATGAACACAGCAATATTGACTTTGTCTGCCGTCCCCTTTGAGGTTCCTCGTTTCCCAGCACATTAGCCAATTCTTTGTAATCAGAGTTGGCCATCAAGCATTGTAATCGGCACCCACGGGTCATCATACTCCGGTGCATTTCATCTAAAGACACATCAAATCAGTATCTGACCAACTCTTTCCTGGATTTAACCACTCACCAATCTTGTTGTTAGTATTGATTTTCTGGAGAAAACCTATGAGGCGCTCCCCAGGGAATTCTGCTACACCGGCTAGAGGTCCCCAACCAGACATCTGTTGAGTAGTATGTAGTGCAAAGTGATGGTTGGGTTGCACTTTGATACCTTCAAATAGTTCCCCGACCGAATCTGAGTATTTTTTGTAATGCATCTCAAATCGTCTGAGATCAGCCTGCTTGAATCTCCGTGCAAAAACCACATTGGTACATTGGACTAGTTGAGCAGTATTGGCCAGAAATTTGTACCGATTTGAGCGGAGGTCGATCGATCCTACGTCAGTGATGTAGATTTCACAAATCACCAGAGGGATAATAAAGACATAAAGTGCATGCCACTGAGATGCAGTCAGTTTGCCATGACTTGCCTCTCCAAGATTCAGAGGTAAATGGGGAACCCCAGGGGGCAGTACTACATGCTTCATACCATTGCAAAATTTTTCAACGTCGTCCTCTGTGAAGAAACTGCCACCAAAACCGCCATTGAGTAAGATATCCTCATCGTCGTCAGATTCATACAGAATTTCGTCATCGTCTAGATCCATTGCTATTTTGATTGACTCAATTGTTGTTCGGGCACGCTTGTTGGGGCCAGTCTTTGATCTTGAGCCATTCCGACGCTTTTTCTTTGCCTCGCTTGGTGGGATCCATCCAAATTTCCATCGATAGCGGAAGTGACCTTGCAATATTAATGAACCTAGAAACTGAGGTTTTCCAAACCGAGGCGTTAGGGCACGACCAACGTGAACTAACAAGTGAGCAGAAGCAAGCGAACCTGAGGTTTTCCAAACCGAGGCGTTAGGGCACGACCAACGTGAACTAACAAGTGAGCAGAAGCAAGCGAACCTGTGGCGGTTGAGGCGAACAACAAAGATGTGTGAGAAGAGAACCGACACAGAGATGAAAGCTAGAGAATCTGATCAATTTCATTTCTAACCTGAGGTTTTCCAAACCGAGGCGTTAGGGCACGACCAACGTGAACTAACAAGTGAGCAGAAGCAAGCGAACCTAGAAGAAATGAAAGATGAGAAAACAACAACGCAGAGAAGAAGAAGGAGAAGAGAATGAAGAGAACAGACCTGTGGCGGTTGAGGCGAACAACAAAGATGTGTGAGAAGAGAACCGACACAGAGATGAAAGCTAGAGAATCTGATGAAGAAAAAAGGAAAACAACTTTTAGAAGAAAAGAAACCCCTTATATATTCCTTCCACCAGATGAGCTAGGTTTTGAACCTTGTTTGTCTCATTCCTCCACGTGCCCAACTGTGCCGCAGCGGGGTGAGAATGAATCCCCCGGACCTTCAGTTCAACAAATATGCCTTCAAGCCAATTGTGCATCACTCCTAACACAACATGGCGGCTAGGGTCCCAATAATTCAATCAATTTAGCTCAGACCATCAGACACCTGTTGCCTTCAAGATCCGATCTTGTTCGGTTACTGATGTTGCATTTTTGGAGTTGCGAGCTGCAGAAATGGTTTCGGATTTTTCACGTCTTCTTGAAAGTTGTAATGAGGGGAGGTTGGGTAGTTCGGCGTGACAGAATGAGCAAAACTTGGTGGCTGAATGTGAAGCAAAGCCAACAACCTTCTTGGTTGCAAGGACATCACCATAGACACATAGTAATTTGACTTGCACCAACCGACCAGCTGGGAATTGATGGGTTGGGATGATGATGCCAGCGTCCAAGTTGATGAGTTCGTCCATGAGTGGGCCTAGGAGATGGTTAAACGTCTGGGGATCGGGGGCGTAGGGTCCTGGGGTGATACCAGCAATGCACATGTGTGAAAGCTTGTTACGAATTGATGGTGGAAGATTAAGACACAAAAGTGCAAGAACACCAGTTGATTCCGTCTTGCCACTGATCTTGTTCCCATGAGGATTGAACCAATCAACAAACAACGATACGCCTAGCTTAAGTACATCGGATCCTTTTTTCCAAGTGGTACCCGTAAAGTTGTTGCCATGTTGTACATCTGAAAAGTAACCTTGATCCTTCAGATCTTTATTGACTTGAATCCAGTTGTCCATGGCTTTCTCGGTCTCGGGCTTTGACAGAAGCCATGTCATCCATGTCAAGATAGACACAACGGGGTGTTCCGACCACATCGGTGGGGATATCAGGTAGTTTTTGATAATGTGCAACATCGCCAATGTCCTTATGGCCTCGATAAACCTTCTTTTTGATGAAGAGTTCTTCATCTCAGGGCAGTGAGGTGCTGAATTGTTTGTAGTTGCAACACCAGTTGGAAGTGGGGTCAAGTTCATACAGATGAAAACACACTCGACAGCAGATTTTTGTGCTGAGTTGAACATCAAGTTGGGCATTTTCAATGACGGTTCACGGATCACGTGGTATTGCCTCAATGTCTTGAATTAAATTTGGATGCTTGACAGCCACACTGAGTATGTTGATAATCATCTGGATTGCAGTCTTACAGTTTTCACGGCTGACATTACAGAAGAGATGGAGCCATGATACAAAAAGGATTACAAATACTAGAATAAAAAAATGGAGCAGAACTTCAGTTTGGTTAAGCTTTGAGCTGTTGAGAGGTGAGAGAAAAAATGATTCTTACAGGAAAAAGGATTTTGTTCCACAATAATAGAGGACAATTCACTCTCTGGTTCAGAGAGGGATGGAAGAGTCCGCGGAGGACAAGATTGTAGGAACCGTATGCATTCGGTGATATTCATCCAGTCGAATCTTGGCAGCATTGCGGGAAGACAGTGATATGCGTCCAGGTCGTCGTTGGCCATTTTTGTTGACGAA